CCCAAACCCAAACCCAACCCAAACCCAAGCCCCAAACCCAAACCCAAACCCCAAACCCAAACCCAAACCCAAAAACCCAAACCCAAACCCCAAACCCAAAACCCAAACCCAAACCCAAACCCAAACCCAAACCCAAACCCAAACCCAAACCCAAACCCAAACCCAAACCCAAACCCAAACCCAAACCCAAACCCAAACCCAAACCCAAACCCAAACCCAAACCCAAACCCAAACCCAAACCCAAACCCAAACCCAAACCCAAACCCAAACCCAAACCCAAACCCAAACCCAAACCCAAACCCAAACCCAAACCCAAACCCAAACCCAAACCCAAACCCAAACCCAAACCCAAACCCAAACCCAAACCCAAACCCAAACCCAAACCCAAACCCAAACCCAAACCCAAACCCAAACCCAAACCCAAACCCAAACCCAAACCCAAACCCAAACCCAAACCCAAACCCAAACCCAAACCCAAACCCAAACCCAAACCCAAACCCAAACCCAAACCCAAACCCAAACCCAAACCCAAACCCAAACCCAAACCCAAACCCAAACCCAAACCCAAACCCAAACCCAAACCCAAACCCAAACCCAAACCCAAACCCAAACCCAAACCCAAACCCAAACCCAAACCCAAACCCAAACCCAAACCCAAACCCAAACCCAAACCCAAACCCAAACCCAAACCCAAACCCAAACCCAAACCCAAACCCAAACCCAAACCCAAACCCAAACCCAAACCCAAACCCAAACCCAAACCCAAACCCAAACCCAAACCCAAACCCAAACCCAAACCCAAACCCAAACCCAAACCCAAACCCAAACCCAAACCCAAACCCAAACCCAAACCCAAACCCAAACCCAAACCCAAACCCAAACCCAAACCCAAACCCAAACCCAAACCCAAACCCAAACCCAAACCCAAACCCAAACCCAAACCCAAACCCAAACCCAAACCCAAACCCAAACCCAAACCCAAACCCAAACCCAAACCCAAACCCAAACCCAAACCCAAACCCAAACCCAAACCCAAACCCAAACCCAAACCCAAACCCAAACCCAAACCCAAACCCAAACCCAAACCCAAACCCAAACCCAAACCCAAACCCAAACCCAAACCCAAACCCAAACCCAAACCCAAACCCAAACCCAAACCCAAACCCAAACCCAAACCCAAACCCAAACCCAAACCCAAACCCAAACCCAAACCCAAACCCAAACCCAAACCCAAACCCAAACCCAAACCCAAACCCAAACCCAAACCCAAACCCAAACCCAAACCCAAACCCAAACCCAAACCCAAACCCAAACCCAAACCCAAACCCAAACCCAAACCCAAACCCAAACCCAAACCCAAACCCAAACCCAAACCCAAACCCAAACCCAAACCCAAACCCAAACCCAAACCCAAACCCAAACCCAAACCCAAACCCAAACCCAAACCCAAACCCAAACCCAAACCCAAACCCAAACCCAAACCCAAACCCAAACCCAAACCCAAACCCAAAACCCAAACCCAAAACCCAAACCCAAAACCCAAACCCAAACCCAAACCCAAACCCAAACCCAAACCCAAACCCAAACCCAAACCCAAACCCAAACCCAAACCCAAGAATGCAATTAGGTGGAGTCCAAATGGAAGTCTTTTGGCCTCATGTTGTTTATTTGATAATTACAAATTTTTGGGATCACTGAATGGGCGATATTCCCAAACCCAAATAAATGTTTATTTGACGTTGCACGAGATGTGGATTATCAAACCAATCACAACGTTCCAAAGGAAATGATATATCAACAAAAAACAGCCACCAAAGACAGAACCACCATTCACAACGGTAGAAGAGAGATGAGGTGGACTGGCTTGTTTCTCACTCGTCAAGACAAATATACCTGTTCTTTTCACCACAGCAACAGCAGTATTATCGGTAGTATTCTTATCAACAATGATACAGTCGGGTGAAATGTCAAAGGTCTTGGTTGCATCATTCCAAAATCTACAAACCAAAGTTTCATTAGCTTGATCTATCATACATTTTGGCAAAACATTATTTCTCACAGACTCAAAAGTTATGTTGGCTATTGGACTTGATTGATGTCGAATTGAAATGGTGGTAGTTTGATCCGGCATGACTGAAAAATCAATCACTTTTGAAGTAATATTTAAGGAACGAATAGCAAATTCGGATAAAGCAGCAGACATGTTATAGACCTTCATGACAATGTTTACAGTCGAGTAAGAGGCCACTTCGGCAAGCTTGGAAAAGTTTCGTGATAGTTCATACTTGTGCTTTCCATCAATAATTTCAGATAAACCATTCAATGTCACCGCATTGAGTTTTCGATTGTAACCGAGAATTCCTTGAGCATTCAACCGTGTGGCAGGCATGTCTGGAGCCAAATTTTTCGTGTATGCCAATAAAAGCTTGTAATAAATTTGCTTCAAATTATCGAAATCGGTTTTTTGGAAGGCTTTAACTTTTCTTGTTGTTTGAGCTCCTACTACTTGATTCACACGTTCATAAAGAGAATCGGCGGCTTGTTTTGCGAAATCCAAGGTATTTGATTCAGTATTAATTGTATCAGAAGCTGAAATTGTGGAGGTTGTGTTTAAAAGTTTAGAAATCAAAGTAGACGAAGTGGAGTCGTGAAGATAGGCTGAACTGGAACTTGCCGTATTGATGACATTAATTTTGGCTGAAACACTTTCGCTGGTCTCTCCTGAAATAGCCACTTGTTCTTCGACATGTTCAAAATATGCATTAACATATTGAGTGCCAACGTCTTTCATTTGGCTGATGACAAACGAATCGTTTGTTTGAATAGTTTTGAGAAGATCCAATGCAGCAGTAGCAGTGGATTGTGAAATTGTTCCTTGCGTGGTAGCATTCAAAAGAATGGATGTTGCCTCTTGCACAGATGGAGCAGTCACAACCACACTTGTTTCGACGGACGTAGAAGCTAATTTGGAATCATAAACCACAGCCTTAATCCTTAAAAGGTTGCCATCTGCACCACCCACAGGTAAAGGAGATGTGATGGATTTTCTTTCAGATCGATCATTGAGTTGTTTCCAGTCCCCAAGTAATTGGTCAAAATAGAAAAATTGATAAGTGAGAGGTAAATGAGGATCACTGAAACCATTTGAACAACCTATGTTGAAAAGAGTTTTCAGCGCAACACCACTGCTAGGGCTAACTTCAAACACTCCCTTAGTTGGTGGATTATTCACAATTAAGGTTAAAGAAGCAGTTCCTGTTCGTGCAGCATCATCGTAAACGGTCAAACGAATCGTAAAAGTACCTGCCAATAGAACTTTTGGAATCTTCAAATAACTTGAAGTACAGTCAATATTATCCAATGGTAAATCATCACTTTCCCATAAATAAATTGGATCTGAGACGTGATCAATGAATTTAGATAAGAGGACCAAGTCTTTCGATGAATCCACAGCAGTCAGGTCTGCAACTTGATTGGACATTCCAATGGACATGGCAACAATGGAAAGCCTGATCATTGAATCTCTGGCCCTATTCACAACGGTAACAGTCAATGAGGCACTACTACTTCTTGTACCCTTGCTAAAGGTGGCTGTAAATTTATACTTTCCTTCCAAAAATTTTCTAGAGAATGGAGTTTGAATGGGAGATAAAATATTTGTGCACTCCACTGCGTTGACCAAATCAAAACATGAAATGGAAAGAGAGGATGTTTCACTGGTGGCACTTGGGTCGTAGGTCAAAACATTGAATGACAAAATGTCGTCGGTCGATTGAGTGAAATCAAAGATATCAAATTTCACACGTAAAGGTTTTGCAACAGCAGTAACCTTGAATCGTAATGAAGCAGGTTGAGCCTGATCGGCTTGAGCTATCACTGAAAAGTAATAATCACCCTCAACGGGAAGTACAGTGTAACCTTGACCAAATACTAAAATTCCATCTCTAGATTTTATAGTCACAGGAGAGACTGAGTTCATGGTTTCATCTAGTGTATAGTTCCATCTTGTCAGTCTTGGATTTCCATTGTAGCATGTTGGGAATCTAATTTGTGCATTAATCAAAAAGAGAGAGCCGATATTGACTGTTGGGCTCAATCCTTCCTTCAATGAAATAGTTGGAACAGCATTTCCAATAACATCAAACGAAGCAGATTGTTTTGATAAGGTATTGAAAGAACTTTGAACTGTGACTTCCAATGTGTAAGTACCTGTTTCAAGCATGGCAGCATCGATCGTCAGGATGGAGGACTTGTATTGAGATAAACGTTCATTGAGTGAATAAAGCATATCACTCGATGGAGCGCTCGTGGCAGACCAAAAATATTGCAATCTTCTTCCATCCAACGTGGCTGAAGCTGAAGCATCGAGCACCACTCGATCACATGCTGACACGACATTCTTTTCCACAAAGAGAATAGCTGTTGGTGGTGTTGGACTGAATGAACCTGCAGCAACAGGAACATCCACAACAGGAGAGGAGTCTCCCTTGGATGGATCTTGATAGAATGAAAGAACATCTCCACTAGTCACAGAGGCAATAGGACCCAAGACAATTTCAAAGTTTCCATCTATCAGCAAGTTACAGTCAGCTTCCTCACCACCAACCTTTTCAAGACTGACATCTGTCATTAAATGATTACATTCGACTCGTCTTCTGATAGAGGAATAGTAGGTTCCTATAAGTTTGTCACCATTCGCACTGAAGGTCAACACTGAAGGTAAACTAAACATACAGGCTGAACCAGACCATGAACCGGAGCAAATGTCACACTTGGCACCAGTGAATCGAGGAGAACATTCACAGGTTCCGTTCCTTGTACACACTCCATTTGAAGAACAATTCAATGAAGAGCTACACACAATATCACAATTTTCTCCAACATAACCTGGAGCACATTTTTCACAAAATCGACCAACAAAATTACCATAGCATGAACATTCGTTATTGATACACTCTCCTCGATTGTTACATGTGGTAGCCTTGTTACAAAAGTGATTCTCGCATTGAGACCCACTATAGTCTGGACTGCATGAGGTACAATTTACACCGTCGTTCCATCTTGGCTCACATACACACATGTCTGGAGCGATGCATCTTCCATGTCCTCCACAAACCAATGAACTTTTAGAATCAATTCCAAAACATGAAAAGGATTGACAAGCATTTCCAGAGTAACCTGAATCACATGCACAAGTGTTTGGACCAGTGCATCGACCTCGCCCAGAACAAACATTTCCGAAATTGGCACGTACTCCAAAGCATTCAGGATATTCACAATTAGGTCCTTCATAACCTCGCTTACATCTCGAGCAAAACGAAGAAGCTTCCAATGAAGGAGAGTCACAAACACATCGATCGACAGCTTCGCATTTGCCTCTCCATGAACATCCACCCATGACATCCGTGAGGCCATTACATGTTGGAATGTCACACAATCGACCAGTGTACCCTCGTCGACATTGACAATAATCGCTGAATGCACAAGTACCATTGCCTGAACATACCGATGGATCATTCGATAATTTGGTGTGGCAAATATATTTATCACAGTTGTTGCCGCCGAAACCTGTCGAGCATTGACATTGATCTTGAGCGATGCATTGACCTCTTCCAGAGCATACTTGTGGATGGTCTCTTCTCAGGCCATAGCAAGTAACACTATTTGGCAAATAACCACCAAAGTTACAACTCTCGGTTGGTAATAAATCACAATTTAAGGTAACATTATTAGAGGTTGCAATTTGTTGGCACACCGATCGACATAAAGGCATCCTTGGATTACTACTCGTACATAACTTGAATTGTTGCAAACAGAAATAGTTCTTAAGAGCACCAGTTTCACATGGACCCGATGAATTGCACAAATTATAAGTATTCATGAACTGTTCATAGTTGTTTTGTGCTTGTCGATCTGCTGCACCCACAGAATCCATGAAAACTTGAATGGCATGAGATGAGTTTTTTGCTCCCACAGAATAATCCAAGTTCAATACATTATAATTCACTCCATAGTTTTTACAGAATGGAATGGCAGTGCTAGGAATGGGGACGCATTGTTGACGGAGTGTAAATTGAGAGCAGTCCGATCCGGTATAACCTGAGAAGCATTCACATCGATTGGGTCCAACACATTGGCCTTTACCGTTGCAATTATTTGGACAAACATAACGATCACACAAAGCACCTGTATATCCAGGATTGCAAACGCAAAAACCAGCGTTACAAACACCATTACCATGGCAAACATCTTCATCACTTGGAAGTAAACCTCCACATCGATAAGTGTTGGCATTGTCTTGAGGAATAGTCATACAGACATCTTCTTTCAACTCGTTGCACATTCTCATCAAGTCCGATTGAGCAAAAGGTGAAAGAGTATTCGTGCAGGATGATTTACACATGCGAGCAGAAACTAGAACCTGGTCCGTAGTTACAGGTTGTGTTCTCTTGCATGCTGGATAAATGTACATGCACAAAAATCTCGTCATTCTTCTCTTGCATGCTTCGTCGTTATTTGCACACAAAGGTTCTAGTCTGGTGACCATTTGATCTACTTGAGAGGACATGCTTGTCAATGCCAATTTCACATTTTGATCGAAGGATTGTTGGTCGCTTGTGGTGTTCGTAAGGAACACTGAGTTCAAATATTCATAATTTACATAGGGAGAACATTTTGGATTGAGTCGATCATGCGGATAACTTCTACATTGTGGTGAAGGCATATAAATGGAACAATCACTGCCAAAGTAGTCTTCTTCACAAGAGCAAACTCCATTCTCTAAAAGTTGACCATGAGGTCCACAGAAGTTGTTTTGAGGTCCCGGATCAGGATAGGCCACACAATCCGAATCAGATAAAGACTCACACACTGAATTGTACTGACTCTCATTTAAGTGTGGCTTCAATGTTTGAATGCATGATTCTTTACACATACCAGCAGAAACAACCATTGAAGGATTGTTTGTAACATGAATACAAGCAGGATATATGTAGGAGCATATAAATTTCAGCATATCAACCCGACAAGCTTCACTCGTGCAATCATTCGTCATTTGTTTTGCTCTTTCATACATGGCATCCACAGATTGAGACAAACGTAGGAATCCCTTTCGAGTTTGAGCTTCAAATTGTTCCCGATTCAATGCACTATCATTGAATAGAGTATTCAAATACAAATATTTAACATGAGGGGCACATTTGGAATTCAAATCTTCGAGCTTGTACTGCACACATTGAGGTACGGGCGCATAGAGCGAACAATTAGGATCAGTATAACCTTCTTCACACATACAAGTTCCAGTATTGGGTTTTAAGGAGCCATATGGTCCACATTTTGAGTTAATTTGTGGAGTCGAGCATCTTTCTCCAGAATAACCGTTTTGACATTCACAGGTGAGAGCATCCATGTTGAGAACTCCATTTCCATTGCATTTCAATGGAGGAGTGTTGCTGCTTGTCGTATTGAGGCAACTCTCGTCCAACCCAGCTGATCCAGAACGTACACATTGGCATTGATGACCATAATGATCGGCATTACAGGTACAATTATTAGGGCTCATACACTGACCATGTCCACCACACACCATGGAAGACATGACGGCAGGGATATCAAAACACACGGGAACGCAACGATCTTGTCGGCATGCGTAATGGTCTGGGCAGTCGGTGGAATTTGTACATGTATCAGCCTCAGCAGCACGAACAACACAAGTGAAGATTATCACTGCGATCATCATCAATGCGGCTACAATCACAGCCATCAAAGGCCTCTTTCCAGAAAATCTCTTCACCATGATAAAGGATCGATTCGGAGAAGGATCACCCGCTAGGATCTACTGTTTTGAAATTTTTTAAGCTGGTTGTACTCATCTATAAATGATCATCTGTAAATGGCCACAACTGAAACGTTTGAAAACGGATATTACCGTTGGGAGGATAGGTCAGTTTGAATTCAACAACTTCCTTTTAGATTCTAAATCTCAAGAAAATGTTGTATATTGCATCGTTGAAGATTTGAATCTCTCTCAAGTTGGTGGTTGTCAAAAAACGTCATCATAACCGTTTGTTGGCAGAAAACTTTAGAGAGATTCAAATCTTCAACGATGCAATATACAACGTTCTGTAGAACAATATTAATAATCATACAATATTAATAATATTAATTACCTGATTTCCATTTTATGACAACACTCGAAAGATTTATGCTGTGTGAATTGTGTGAATGTTGCCATACTAGTATCCACACAGATCCTGTTCACACATTATGATGAAAAAATTATTGAACAAATTATGAATTATTTCACATGTGAAAGATCTTTCATTGCTCATCCACATGTTTCCCCCTTGTCTGCCATAAAATGACATCACTCTTTCTTCTTCCAAATGATGTCATTATCGATAATACGATTTTCTCACATCTTTCGGAATGTCAATTCATCTTCAAGTTTTTCTTACGTTCGGTATGTTCTTAAAAGGGACAGCATTGACATTTATCACAAAAATTGGAAGAGAACCACAAGATTCATGAGTAGTTTTCACAAAGAAGAATCCCAAAGTACAATTATGCCCTATTGGAGAATATAAAGAGACATTCCACACAAATTTGTTTCATTTTTATTTTTCTTGGATTTGTATTACTATTTCCGATCAAGGATTGGTTCTCTTCAAACTCACACAATCCGTTTCTTGCCAATCGTCACACCAGAAAAAACTCCTCACATCCAAAACACCACAAAATGAATTCAAGAGCTACCAGTGCAATTCTGTCATCCTCATTGAAGGCCACACAAATGTCATCTCGTTCTTCAATGATCACTCGTAATCAGGCCGAGTCTCTCTTGAACAAGACAACCACCACTTTGAATCAACATCATTCATTCATGTTGTCATGTGGTGCTTTTAGAACTCGATCCGTTCACCACCATTTGATCTCACTCGATTTTCTCCATACCGAGCAATCCGTTGCCTCCTCCAAGTGTCCCATTCACTCCAAAACAGCAGAAACTACTTTGCAGGACTCGGATTCTTCCAACAACAACAACACAATGGCCGGTTGTCCCTACCACTCTGCAAACACTGGTCCAAAGACACCTCTAAAATCATTCGATGAAATTCCTGGACCAAAGCCATTGCCAATTCTTGGTAATTTACTCGACTTGATCAAACACAAAGGAATTGCAAGTATTTACTTTTATGAGTTGTGTGAAAAGTATGGAGATATCGTTCGTCTCAGTATGCCAGGCAAACGAATGGTACTCATTTCTCATCCAGCAATTATTGAAGATTTGATTAAAAAGGAGGAGCAGAGAGAGCACTTAAAGTCGTATCGCTTTTACAAGTCACAACGAGATATTGCATTGGCTCCAATGGGTAAGTGTTTCATTCATTCATAGACACTCTTGTTCCATCCTTATGAACAAAATTTCACACATTTAAATGATTTGACATTCTAAAATTTGAATGGTCTTATTTCACATCGATGATTTGACTTTTAGAAATGACCATCCATGAGAATTGGCAAGAAATTAGAAACCTCTTCAATGTGGCCATGAAACCCGAAAATCTTGAAAAGGTCAGTTTACCACAAATTACCGAACTCAATGGGGATTTTTTGAGAATTCTTGTGAGTAAATTGAAGAGAGTGGAAGGCAGTGAAAACGATGACACTCCAAGGTACAAGCTTCCCAATGCCTTTGATGTCACTTCCTTGTATACGTTTAAATCTGTTGTGAAAACCTTCTTGGGTTTGAAGGTGACTGATGAAATTGAAAAACAAATGCCATGGACCATTTATGAATTTGTCGACCTTGCTGTTCGTGGTACTGATCTCACTCTTCAATTGGACAGCAAACCACCCATCTATCAATATTTCAAAACAAAGAAGTACAAGGAAATGGAAGCAATTATGGATAAGATTTATTATGGAAGTAGGAAATTGATTAAAATGTATGAAAAAAATCCAAATCCACAACTTCCAAGATTGAAAGACTTTGTGGATGAACGTGCTGTTGGAATGGAAAATGCAGAAAAGAAAAGTGAGGGAGTGTTGAGCTCCTTCTTGAATGGTGGTGTTGATGTGACTTCTCGAATTATGGTCAATCAAATGTATCGATTGGCTCATCATGTAGAATATCAAGATAAATTGTATGATGAATTGAAGGAAGTGTTTGGAGAACCTACTGCTGAAGAATTCTTATCTGAGAATGGACTTCAAGTCTCCTGGGAGCAGTATAAGAAGATGAAACTAGTGAAGCATTTCTTGGATGAAACTTTCCGAGTGAATTCCTTCTCTTACATGACAAGTGGCAGATGGACTTCCACAGACCTCGAAGTGAATGGATATTTAGTTCCAAAGGATACTCGAATTTTAATTATGAATTATCATCCAAGCATGAGAGAAGAGTTTGTTCCTCGTGCCAAAGAGTTCATTCCAGAGAGACATGAAAAGGGACATTCATTGGCTCCAAAATCTATGTACAGCAGGTAAGTGTAGAGTTTTCATATGAGCTGCAAAGATCATTCGTTTGGATGGGAACTCATTTTGTGTGATGACATATTTTAATATATTAACATAAATAACAGTCTTCCATTTGGAATCGGGGCCAGAAAATGTCCTGGTAGTCGAATTGCAAGCACTGAATTGCATCTCTCCCTCGTCAATTTAGCAAGACACTTCAGACTGACACACGAAAATCCCGACAAATTCCCAGAAAGCAAACATGACCAATCCATGTTGTATATTGACTCAAAGAGTCATCCATTGTACTTGATCCCAAGAGATCACATGAAACCGATATTAGAAAAATATGTAGCTTAATGCAAGTGAACAACTTCATGGAAAGCATAATAAATTTTATGATCATGTTAAAGTTCTCATCTCACCAGAACGGCATTAGTTATCACACTTATTAATGTTTGTTCCTTAAAGAGGGTTATTCACAGTATTTGAGTGAAGCACAGTTTTAATCCCATTCAATCATCCAGTTCGCTTTCGTTGAGTTTGTTGTCGCTTTGAGATCCAGTGTCCTCTGGAAGAGATTCGATGTTAAGAATTTTAGTAAGGAATGAATATATATATTCATATTTCTCCCAATCCGTTGCTTTTGAAATTTTCTCAAATTCTAGTCCTATTAATATACAAACATCGATAGCTTTGTCGACGTTACACAAATATTTCTGCTTAAATTCATTATCGTTTAAGGTGAAAAAACTTCTAACAAATCCAAATTTTTCTGGGTTAGTCATGTTCAATGGAACGAAGAAAGGAGTTATTTTTCTAACACCAACGGAAACTTTTAAATCAAGAACCTCCTTTTCAATCTGTTCCTTATCCCTCATCATCATCTCTTCTTTCTGCTTCAGCATTAAAATTTCCTTCTTCATCTCCGCATTGTCCTTATTCAAATCAAAAATTTCCTTTTTCCTTTCTGCCAATTCTTTTTTCATCTCTTCAATGATATCAGTACATTCACTCACCATAGGGAGAGCTGTGGAACGATATTTTGTCCTCTTTTGTTGAAGGATTTCCATATCCTTATTCTGCTCGGACGTAAGAGGGAACATGGATGCCTTTCTTTTCAACTTGTTGCTCGCGAATTCATCTAATAAATTTTGTTGATGCTCAGTGTAATCAAGGACCACAAATTTTGGAGTGTTGTCCAAAGGTAACTTTTTAATAGGGTCAGTTGGATACATCACCTCTTCAGACACGAAGTAACGTGAGGTCTTTGCTTCTGAATGAATTGTATCAAGACAACTCATTTTGACAATGGTGATGAACTTTTCTCAATACATACATATTGAAAATGTTATTGTACACTTGTAGTGACGGTTTCAAGTTCATATTTTTCCTCCTTCACTCTCGGAATGATCGTCAAAGCTTCTATATTTAAATATAATCACCTCCTATCATTTGATGAATCTTTTGATCAAGTGAACAGTGCTGACACTCAATCAAGTTACTGTGGACGTTCTTGAGAAATTTTCAAGTTGAAAAACTCTTAGGGTTTGAAAATTGTTGAATAAATCACAAAAACAAGGAGAGTAGTAGTTTTTGACAATAACAACAACAATAGCGTGGTCAAATTCACTCCATGATCACTACATCAAAAACGAGTCATTCAAAAATTTACCAAATCAATTGATGATACTTCATCACATACACTAATAATGAATACTATTGGTTGATGATCGTGTAAAGATGACCGAATCAAAATAATTATTGCAACACTGTAAAACACATGACTATGAAAATTGTCTCCTCGATTACAGTAATGTGTTTTTCTTTCAGACCATGAGGAGTTTTATGATGGTATTAATCTTGTAGATATTTACACAAGTGCCATTATTCAAAACCCAGTGTTTTGTAAGAGATTAAATGGAATTATTTCAATCAGAGGCGATGCTTAAATTGAAAATGAGAGCTCCACATGCCTATGGCAACATTGAATGAGTGACCACTGAGAAATATGATATGTTAAAAGACATGGAAAAATATCCAATGATGAAAGAAGTCAAACTTGTGGATGAACAAAACTACTCATTTTGGAAAATTGTATTTAAGGGACCTATGGATCAAATTATGCCAACAAATATTTCCTCCTCTATGTCGAATTTCCACAAGATTATCCCAATGTGCCTCCTTATGTTCGATTTGAAACCAAAATTTATCATTGTAATATCAATGATGATGGGAAAATTTGTCATCAACTCTTAAATGACAGTTATTCCCATATGGTTTCCATGTCCTCCATTTTGAATGAAATTTGCGAAATGATGATCAGTCCAAATTTTGATGATGCTCTCGATAGTTTGAAAGCATCACTCTATAAGAAAATCCTGACAAATACAACCAACAATGGAATGGTGAAAATTATATGGATTCAACATGTTGAAGGAAATTGAAGAGACCTACAATTTAGCATAGATGTAGTCGTCGTGGCTATGTATCTCTGTAAATTGTAAAATATAATGATAAAAATTCTTTTGGAATATTCCAAATCTACAGTAGTTGATATGTGCAAACATTTTTATGAGTTCATCGCCCTGATGTAGTATTTTTCATTGGAATGATAGACAGTGAATGAATGAACACTCATCTTTAAAACCTTACTATTCGTCCATGAACTAATCAGAGATTCAATGGACGTTGTATTTGGTTCGAATGGAATGTATCAAAGCATCACCAACTACAACAATGTTATCTCTGCATGCATAAATGGTGTTCAAGACCTCTTTCAAAATTCAAATCGCACCTGTGGAGAGATGTGCTTCTTGTACAAAGAGATATCACAACTAGAAATAGTTGGTCAAAATGCCTCATTTGGATGGGTTTGAGTTGATCAATAGTAACAATGTTCTACAATACTATTGTGATATCTCCTCAACAACAGAAAAAATCAACATGAAAGACAATTTGAAAGTACATCCAGTAATACTTCCAAATTACACGACAAGTGACAGTTCTTCGTCTTTAGGATCACTTTCAGCTTCCCATGACTCCTCGAGTTTGAGTTTTGCTCAGGCCTTCCATGCCAACCTCAACGCGGAAGGTAAAAGTAAAACGAGCAGGTTTCTGAGATCAATTTGTCCAGCTCCTCATTCCTTGCAAAACATTTTACTGGCAATTTTCATTTTGCAGACCGCGATTTGTATTGGCTCGATGATACTTCTTATTTACTCGAGGTTAGTATGAAGTGATCAGTCATTTATAATGTAACATTGTGTTTATTTTGGCATGTTTCATTTTACCACGTTTCTTGATTGATCATGACGTACTGTCATGTGTCATCAAATGAACGCAACCTTCCATCCAATGATGTTCATTGTAGTGGGGAGAAATCCATCGATAATATTGCCACCATTCAATCTGATTCCGTTTACAGAGATATCGCAGCTCACATGGCAAACTCTAAAACAATTCTCGAACAATTGCATGAACAACTGTCAGTGGTCAATCATTTTCAAAACGAGACCTTTGATTGGTCGATCTATTCTCGAAAGATTATTAATGTTTTTGCTCCTACAAAACTTGGATATGACATGGCTACAATTTTTCACTATGCGAATAGTTTAAAAATGTTGGCAAATATTGAAATGTCAGCTGTTAGAAATCGTGTTGGATTTGCTAATGGTGATGGAATTCTCAAACTCTACTCCTATGACAAGTATTATCAGGCAGAAACCTTAATGCAGACTTCAACTGGATTTGATCCAACAAAACGTCCTTGGTAAGTGAAATTTTATTCTTTTTCTACGGCCGTTCAACATCACAACTGTGAAATTCTTGTGACACCATCGTCAGGTATTTGGCAGGCTCTACAAAAACCTTTCCTGACTATGCATGGAGTACTGTTTATAACAACTTTGCACTCAACAGCATTTCGATCGGGGCTGCAACTACGGTGAACTTTAACACTTACAACATTTCCACTTCAAATAATGTCATTTCCAAAGTTCCAATCACTCAAATATTAGTTGCACACTTTGATTTGTATCAACTCGATTATGTCCTTAACGACACTATTAAGCAATATCGGGACATGCAAACGAAATCAATGCAAATTGTCGTTCTTGAAAGAAGTGGATATATTCTCACTACATCGATTGGAGTTTCAGCGATAAATGTTACAGATATGAGTCGAGTTCATATGAATGCAACGAATACTATTTTTGCGAAGATTGTTCCCATTCTCATGTCCAAAAATATTATTTTGAAAGATCCCAAAAATGGAAATTTGTCAGAACTCGCGACCGTTAATAGAACACAAGTGTTTTATATTGACCAATATCGAGTATCTCTACAATTTCTCAATGATGGTAAAGGATTGGATTGGGTCATTGTTTTGGCCACTGAAAATTATGGATTTGTCAAAACAGTATTCACAAGCTCTCCAGAACTTCTTTCACTTTCAATCATCTTGGTAGTGTTGGGAACTATTATAGCCATAGCCATGACTCAACTTCTTTCGTACTCAATTATGAAAGTTGCGAGAGACATGTCAAAAATTTCACGTCTTGAAGTGGAACAAGTGAAAAGTTCAAAACTGCTCAAAACAGTTCATGAATTGCACTTGCTTCAAGGTTCCACAAAATTAGTGAAAAGTGCTCTTCATTCCTTCATCAAGTACATTCCGAGAGATATTGTGAAAGATATTGTCAGAAATGGTATTGCAGCCAAAGTGGGTGTCACAAGTTGCAGCACATCTATCATGTTTACAGATATTGCAGATTTTACAACATTTTCAGAGACTGCACATGTTTCGATCTTGTTGAAAGTACTTTCTGAATATTTTAGAATTATTACTGAGGCTGTCGAGGCAAATAATGGAGTTATTGACAAATTCATTGGGTAAGTATGATTTAGTCAGTTGGAAAATCCATATAATTTGGTCCTTCAAAGAGATGGAACTATGAGCCTATTTTCACATCCATTGAAAATTGTGGAAGATCATGCAGAGAGCTGTTGTCACGCTGCTCTCCAAGCAATGGCAGGAATCGAAAAATTAAGAGAAACTTGTAGACGAGAAGGATGGCCACAAATCAAAATAAGAGCTGGTATCAATACAGGAAACGCCATGATTGGAAATGTGGGTTCGAAAGATCGTTTCAATTATACGGTAAGTTTCAAGAGTTGAGCCATTTTGTTTTCGTTGAAATTATTTGTTTGAAAAATATGAATTGTTGTTAAAGGCCATTGGTGACAGTGTAAACACAGCAGGTCGATTGGAAACTCTCAACAAAAGATACGATACGAGCATTCTCATCGGTCAAAACACGTACGATCTTGTCTCAAAGAAATTTTTGTGCTTGTTCGTTGATATTGTCAAGTTGAAAGGAAAAGCAAAACCCATCGAAGTTTATGCTTTAGAATCAGAGATCGTCGAGGCTTCCAAAAAACAAGTGATGGTTCATGATTATCTGCAACAAGCAAAAGAAAACATGACAGAAAGGAACTACACACAAATGATCTCAATATTGGATCAAGCAATCGAATCGATTGACGAATGGATTGAAGATGAGGAAGCTAAATGTCAAGAAAATGACGTGTGTGAATTGAACCCATCGAATCCTAATTGGTACGGTCACGAGGATATTTGTTTCTCGAATTTGAAATTTATTAAGGATTTGAGAAGTCGAGCGGAAGAATTGAATCAATTGGCAGTTCATTCATCGGTGGTTGAAAAATCTTTCATGGATTTCACACTCACTCTCAATGAAAAATAAGCGCTTTCATCACACGGTGTACAATCGGTTTTGTAAATTCTTGTAATACTGTAAAATACAATCACACTTTCTGAAAACAGCACCTATCACATGCAAACACTTAGAAATAAAAGGATGTCAACAAGGGCAAAAGAGCCCAGAATCCTAAAAAACCATACGCAAAGCTGAAAACAAGCATATCTTTGTAAATGAATCGTAATTGAGCATTGTTCCATAATTGAACATATACAGACAAATCTGACCTTTGAATTCCTTCATGAGCCTCTTCCAATTGCTCCTGGTAAGTCGCTCTATATCTTTCAAGATACATGGTAAATCCAAAAAGGACACCACTTCTGAATACTGTTTTGGCAAGCATGAGTCGCTGAAGTACAACTTGAGGACTTCTCTCAAGCATGGCATATGTAAAGGCCGAGCTCAGTAAGAGAGAAGTCATGATGGAATGAGAATCTTCAAGCTTTTCCAGTAATTTCTGATTTTCATCTTTTTTCTTGCATGCACTGTCAAAGATCTTGATTTGAACCCAAAATTCTCTCTCCTTTTCCACTAGAGGTGTCTCCATAAATTGTGAAAAGAATTTATACATTGCTACTCGTTTTTCCAATTCCATATTTCGTGAAAAGTCCTCTCTATTGGATCTTCGCAACAATTGAAGAATGCATTCCACAGCAAGTGCTTGTTGTACCGCATGATCATTCTTCACCATATCCAACAATTTTTCATTACAGACACCATTATTTTCTTCCTTTGAATCAGAAAAATACATTTTCTTTAGTAAATGCTTGTTAGAGAATAGATTCATGAGTAGATCCAATGACTTCTTTTGCTTTTCTGAGAGATTTTTTTCACTCGATTTGAATTTGTTAAAATATTCATGAATTGATTCACTTGAGGTTGCTTCATTCTCTCTCAAAACAATATCAAACACTAATTGAAAGATGTCATAGCGTGGATTTGTTTGTGACATGTTGAAATATTCCAGTGTCAAATGAGGACAAGTTCTCTCTCGAAACACATTCGACAAAATTTCCAATGCCACTTGACTCAAGAGTTCATTCTTGGATTTTGTAATTTCAAAAACATGTCGAATGAGAGTCTAATATAGAATTCAGAAATATATTGATATGGTCATGAATCAATTTTACAAGTGTTGGATACGACTCTAAAAACAACTCTCACATATTTAATAAGAAACTTACTGGATGAAAAAATTCCTCAATATACTGAAACGATTTGATCAAGAACAAGACTTGTTTGTAAAAGTTCAATAATTTTTCTTCATAATCTGTAGTCACTGGATCCATGACGACATTCGTTTCATCGGCAAGATTGATGGTAGTTTCTTCAGCAAGTAATACTTTCATCATTTCATGATTTTTTACCTCTTGTCTCTTAAAATGGTAAAAAGCAATCATGCCAAGATAAATAAATCCTGCCAAACCGAACATATTGATGGCTCTTCTAACATTGAATAATCTAAAATCTTTCCATTCTTCATCCTGTTGTTCGTGTTGTTTTTGGTCATTGTTTTCATCATGTTGTTGTTGTTTCGAAAAAGATTTTTCTGTGCGATTTAATGATGACGAGGTGGAAGATGCAACAAATGATGAATAAGTCGTTGATATGAATGAATGAATGAAAGCTTGAAGCGAATCGGAACTCTTCATCCGGTTGTTGATCCTTTTCATATGTGATGGATTTCCATTGTTGATAAAGTGAGCAAAACTGCCAGTTGTCACGGTCATATGTCTCCTTTTCCAGGAAACAGTCTTTTGAAAAGAAGACTTCACACCTCGAAGAATTGCTGATGACTTGGCTTTAAGCATTTTTTATTAATATTTTGATCATTCTTGAGGTTGTTGAGATTATATTCAAATGTCGGTTGAATAAACATGTCACAAAGAAAGGTGAAACATGGTTGACCTTTGTAAAAGATTCCAAAACTGACAAAAGATTTCAATTTTATTTACATCACAATAGTATTACTCATCGTATTTCACTGTTCATCATGGAAAGTAGTGCATTAAAGTGTATTATGGCCATGAACTGCTCTCTTGCCCCAACTATTAATCGATGGAATTAGGTGAACCCATTACATTTGGAAGAGACATCCAATGACTCTGAATTTCATCCATTGCGTGTGTACTGTAATCTTGTGTGTTTTGTTTCTGAGGATCAAATTGGTGCCACAAACGACACCATTCATCCAAATTTGTTGTCGTCGTTGTTGGTGAAGAATATTGTTGGTGATCATGCTCTGCCTAGTCCACTTGTTCATTTTCCTTAATAGAAGTCTCTTCTTTCTCCTCTCGAATCAACACACAAAAAGAACCACCTTCATGATCCTTTTGGACATTCTCCACTCCATTTGTCGACAAGGATGAAGACATGGCCTCCGAAGGAGAAATACATGGAGAAGAAGAACTGTTCATTGTGGTAGTGAGTGGTTGTTGTTGTGTTGGATCATTGGTCGTTGTACCATTAATGGTGGAAAGAAGAACATGTTTCTCTAATAAGGGTTTTTCACACAAAGCAGCACCAATATTACCACTCTGAAGACTCATTGGTGTGCTGCAATTTGAACAAGTCGAAATCGTCGTCGAATGATTGAGGCTCTTGTTCTGGGAGAGTGAACTTGGAACTTGCAAGGAATTGGATTTTGACACGGTCGTTGTTGCTGATTCTTCTTCTTCATCTTCTTCATTACTATTATTGATCTTATTCACACTATTGATACTACGAAGACTATTACTCTTCTCACCCTTACTATGATTCGTTATTGCATTTTCTGAACCAACGGATTCATTCACATGAACTGGTTTTTGCAAATGGTTCGAATGAATGTTCGATCGTTTCTCAATCTCTGCAAATGCATGTTCATTTCCAAAAAACAATGGAAAGAACAAGAAGAGAATTATGATTGCAAAAATTAAAATTCCTCCACAATTGAAAATGTACCACACCAATCGGAGTGTTTCAATTTCAGCAACGGCACTTGCAATTCCTCCGGCAATGATTTCCATGGACATGCAAACTAACATGGCAATGAGAAGACCGAAGGTGATTTTGAAAGGACTTTGGACACGTCGTTCGAAGGTTTGTAAATCAAAGGAAGAACGAGAGGTTTGTTTTTCTAGAGGTCGAAGAGTCATGGCTTTGACGGTGTTGGCGGCAGTCGTTTTGATGGTTTTGATGACGAGAATACCAGATGTCAAAACCATGATGGAATCAAAAACAATCATGCACACGACAATGACGAATACACAAACGAAAACACTGGTCGCTACATTCTTTGCAATCATTCCTAAACCTAAAAGTGAGTAACACACTCCAGTCAGAATGACCAATGACAAGGTCAAGACAATGAAAATGACATTCACCACACATATGGTCACACGAATGATTTTGAAGGACTTTTCAGAAATGGAGCGCACTAATTTTGCAGTTTCCCAACTAGATTGACAGATCATGACAATTGTCCATTCAAATAAAATTATAAAATAATAATTAAGAAATAATAATTATATAATAATTGGGATTTTTGAATGGCAAAAAGGATTGGAAAAGTCTTGAAAAATCACTTACAAAATATTCTGAACCACAAACAAAATAATAAAAAACGAAATAAAATTCGAAAAGGTAAAAAACGTTGTCACTCCTCCCATCACATTCATCGCCACAAAAAATTGCAAACCCACCAATTGTTGACTCTCCAATAATTGTCGTCCCCTCACTTGTAACGAATCATTGGCAATTCTCAACAATTGTATGAATGTCTGAATACCCACAAATATCACCGTCAATGTGAGTAAAATTTTGTGATTTCTCTTTAATTGATTTTTCGAAGAAACTCGTTGAAGAAAAAGAGCAACCACTAGAAAATATATCAGATAACAAATAAAAAAGAAGGAACTGTTGGTGAGTGTGGAATAACTGACCCAGAGTGGTTGAACATCTTTGAGAGTGAGATTGGCATATGAGGTGGTGGTGATGTTGACATTCATGTTGTTGTTGGTGAGAATGTTGGAGGCTATTGTTGAAAATTTGGTCTCCACACTCGAAGGAGATGACATTTTTTCGGTTGTGAAAAAGCCGCCTATCTCTCTCAATATTTGGAAATGGTGTCAAGTATGAGTTGTGACAATGAAAAGGGATGAAAATCTCAAAAAAGGAAACAGCCGATGAATGTTGAGAAACGTTTCCAAATCCCAATACAACCGAAGTAGTAGGTACGAAAGTGATCAGTTGCATCATTTGAGAAAGATGAAACATTCTAGTTCGAGAAGAGGACTTGAAACCTTGGTGTTTGAGAAAAATTAACACTTATTATCATTACAACGAGACAAACAACATTGAATCGGCTTTTAGATGGTTCGAACTGTCCAAATGTGTAACACAGAGTTTATACTTCTCAATGTTTTCACATTAGTGAAATTTACAAGGATGGTTGTGGAGACAACAATTTTTGCAAACCAGTTAATTTTAAGGCTAATCCAATACTTCCTTTAACTTTTACCATTCCTCTCATGTAAGCGCTGTGATATATAATTGTCAATGATCGTTCATCATCAGATTCAATCACAAGGACAGTTCATCATGGAAATGATTATCATGATTTGTGTCATGAACAAATTATCTATGAATGTGTTGAGAATGACCTACCTTTGTGGTGAAATTTGACCTGTCATGATCTTGAAACAATTCGAATCAGTCATGGTCATGACACAATCTACAACTTTTTCTCCTTCTGTGGTGACGGGAGCTCCTAAATACACACCACAATCATCCTTATTTTTGATATTAAGAGTCCATTGTTTCTTAATATTCTTATTTTGATCGTTAATTAAATCAAACACATAGGTCACTTTAAATTTACCAACCAAATCGGTGTGTTCTTTGAAAAGTATGACCATTCTTCCAAATAATTCAGAGCACTTGTATCCTTCAACATGAACATCATTTGGAGACTCTGCTCTTTGGAGTCCAGCAATAATTTTAGGTCCTGTTGGAGTAGTCGTAGTGGATGACGACTGACTTTGAGAGGAGGTACTTTTAGTTGTTGGAACACGTTTTAAAACATCCTCTCCAGAAAAAGTACTTTGTTGAGACAATTTGGTTGCATGTTTGATAATGTTTTGAAAACTTTCAGCCGCACTCTTGGGATTTCTTTCAAATCCATAATTTTCGGGATCCATATTTGAGTCTGAGACTGTGGAAAATTGGTTAATCTTGTCCCAATTTTTTTCAATCACCTCAACACTAAGAGCATTTTCAATCGTGTCACAGTAGAATGGAACTCCACGTTCATATCTAACCTTAGTAATGACACCTCCACCTACTTCATAAATTTGTCCATTCTCTTTACATTTCGAAGAGGAAAGAAACACAACCAAAGGTGAGACCATTTCAACTTTAAGAGCATCCAACATTTCCTTCTCCATGTTGGATTGTTGCAAAATTTGTGTACCAGCTAAAGGACTCACACAATTCACACAAACATTTCCCATTCTTTCACTCTCCAAAGCTAATGTTCTTGCAAATCCACACAAAGCTTCTTTACAAGCACTGTAATTAGCTTGACCAAAATTTCCATACAATCCAGCCGCTGAAGTTGTGAAAATTACTCGTCCATACTGTTGTTTCTTAAAGATGTTCCAAACTTGTCGTGTCATTAAGAAAACTCCATACAAGTGTACGGAATAGACTTGTGACCATTGTTCTTCGGTCATGTTCACAAAGGATTTATCTCTCAAAATTCCTGCATTGTTCACAAGAACTGTAATTTTAGCTTGAGGAGGAAAGGATTTCAAAGCTTGTTCAATAATTTGTGATGGACCTTCAGGACCAATGGTTATGGAATGATTGGAAGCGATGGCTCGAACGGCTCCATTTTTGTCTAATTGGTGACACATATTATTATTTATATGTCATCATAGACGATCATACAAAATGGATGTGAAAATTAATTCAAAATAATTGTTTCCGAATCGTTCCCAGACAACCCATCATGAATATGATGTTCATTGATCAATAATATTATTTAAATGAAATCGGCAATTCAATGAAAAACAACAACAATATGATTTCATCATCCAAAGATATTATAATAATTTATTCGAATGTTTGTATAAATGTATTCAATGATCAACTTACTCGGAAATTGTTTGTTCAAATATTCAACCGTTTCTCGGGAGGCCTTTTCATCAATATCCTGAACCACCACATAGGCTCCAGAACCAGCAAAAGCCACGGCATGAGAACGGCCCAATCCTCTCGCTGCTCCGGTTATGATCACAATTTGATTTTCAAAAAGCTGTTGTTGGGTCATTTTTTTGTTGTCTTCCCTTTAAGGCAATCAATGCCAAGTGTCAGATAATTTCCAAACTTTCTCATGCTTGACAAATTCATCCCTAATGGTTGCAAATTGATGTTGAAATTCATCCCTAATGATTGCAAATTCTTTATTTACATTCGTGGTGGAGTTGCAGAAGAGGATGAAAAAGAAGGAGATCGTTCTTCATGTTGTGTCTGATGTGATTGCTGTGACGTTGAAGAATTTTCATTCATTGATAAAGTGCTTGCACCTCCCGTCGTCGAAGTCGTTGTCGAAAAATTCGAAGGCACTGTCGAATAGAATTTGTAAATTCTTTCTTTTCGTTGTCGTTTTTGTGTTTCATGTTGACCAGATTTGAATTCCTGAAATTCATTAGTGACAAATTGGATATTTCCACCACCACTTCCACTACTACTGCCCATGAAGGAACCACTCGAGATGGAAATATTCGAAGGAGTGGTGGCCGTAGGAGTGGTAGAGGTCACTTGTGAAGAGGTGTTGTGAAAGGTGACACTTGTCAATGAGGATGGAATGATTTTTAAGGGAGGAAGGCTCGATTGCATGTTCGACATTTGACCGCTCATCTTGTTCTTCTTTCTTGACGACATGCCTCCTTCTGATAAGGTCGAAGGAATAGAACTTCTCTTTTTCGAAGAAGATTGTGACAGGGTGGGTGACATTTCTCCCATCGAAGTTGTGTCACCTGCCACTCCACTCTTTTTCTTTTTCGTCAATTTGTGTTTTTGAGGATTCGAAACGTAAGGTGGAGCGTCTTGAAACATCATGCTCAACTCTGTCACTGGCTCTCCCAACGTACTCGATAATTGCGTCACATGAATACTCTCGTGATGATGATTCGAAACATGAAACGTTGTAAATGCATTCGGAGTGGAAGTGGTATTTGCTTGATGAATATCGGAAGAAGTGGACGAAGATGATGCCAAAGAATTTATCACGTGAGGAGCACAACCACCACTACTTGGCAAAGGAGATGGCACAAACTGTGTGGTGGTTGACGATTTCCTACTTTGGTCATCAAGAGTATTTGGAAGAGTACTTGAAAGGATATTTGACATCATGAGAGACGTTGCTGCATCAGAATTCCCAAATATTGTAAATTGCTTGGGCAACAACATTTGTGAACATGTCGAAGTTGCGACACCAGCACTCGAAGAAGCATTCATCACCACTTGATTCAACAATGAGTTTGGCATGGTCGATGCGATATTCGAAACTCCCGAAGATGTCACATCTTGCAATAATGGTTGTTGTGCATTTTGAGTTTCATATAAATTTTGCATGATCCGATTCGGAAATGAAGTATTGTTGTTGGAGAGGATCATGTTCGAATTGACTCTTTGAGATGGTGGTTGTGTCATGAAGGATTGAGTGAATGATGATTGATTTGATGGTTGTTGCGTTGTGTGAAATTGAGAAACTTGTTGTGAAAATGCTATCGAACTATTCAAATTGGTTGTCGATGAACAAGACGGCACTAATTTTGAGCTTGGATTCAATACATGAGGATGATGACCTAAAGTTTGTTGCTGTATTTGGTGATGTTGCTGCTCTTGATGTAAATCCACTAAAAGTTCTTCGACATTTAATTTGAGAAATGTGTTCATAGGTGTGGAAGTGGCACTTGTGGTTGAGGAAGGAGTGAGAGGAGAGGGAGTGCTGGTCGAACTTGTTGTTGTTGGAAGGGTTGAGAGGGTTGGATTTAAATTCTCTAGATGTAGGGAGGTGGAAAGGGTTGGAGAGGGAATGATTACTGACAGATGTTGTTGTTGTTGTTGTGAGAGAGGAAGACTCGGAGTTGGTGTGAGGATGGAGTTAGATACATTCGATACTAGAGAATTATTACTTCTTAAATGGCCCATTGATGATGATGATGTCGTCGTCATGTGAATATCATTCCGAATCGAATTTAACATTTCATTGGTGAGTGGTGTTGTAAAGTGTGAAATTTGTGGTTGAGTGGATCCTACATTCAAAGACGACGATGACGCCATCATTTCATTAGTGAACAACGAATTCGAAGAAGGAGAGCAAGACACTGATTTTCCTTCCGATGTAGAAATTTGTTTTCCAGTAATCAAAGATGAAGAGTTGTTGTTGTTGTTGTTAATATTATTCCAACTCGAAGGATTCATGAATGTGTGAAAAAGGTATTGTTCTTTGCGTTGTTGAATAACAATTGGTTGTTGTTGAATGACAATTGGTTGTTCTTGTTGTTGAATGAGTTGTTGTAGATGCAAATATCTTTAGAATAATTGTCACATGGGAACAAGAATGACAAGAAAATGGCACGAATTCGCTTTCACTTGAATGAGTCGCGCGTCACGTCCTGGAGGACTCGTGCACTTCTAGAGACTAGTACAAGTGGATTCTTTTTTGTTGATTCTTTTGCCTCAAGAAGAGACACTTTTTGCGGTCTGTGTGGCGTGTCTGTGATGAGAATCACACTTTTTGAGAAATCAATTTGTTTCACAAAATTATTAATAAAGATCACTTGTGGAAGTAGTTGTGGTGGTAAATTCAAGTTACGGCAACAACAACGGCGTGGCGGCGGTGGTTCTTCTTTGAAATCTCACAACAGTGCCAATTTTTTGAAGTGTCTTGTAGTGGTTTCCAAATTTGTTGGATTTCCAATTCAATAATGTGAATAATGTGAGTTTGGTGTGAATAAGGAAATTTCGGGTGAATGATTAGTAATCAATGTACTCAATACGTGATGTGGTGTTGTTGCAATTGATGGAATTGGAAATTTTAAGAGAGGAAAGATTTGATCGTTTTGGAATTGTTGGCAAAAGGTCAAACTCTGTGGCCACACACGACTGTCCAGTCGAAAGGTCGAATGGAACAACGCAACAATACTGTGGTGGCTGACGATGGACACCACGTGAGGGTGTTACTGTGAAAGAGTGTGTTTTTCGTGTGATGTGGCACAAAAAATTGTTGTTTGTTGTTGGTGGTGTTTCCTTTCAAGGCGTTCAAAGTGCTGTTTTTGGAAAAAAGATATCGAGAGTCGAAAAGTGGTATCCAAAAATTTCACTTCTCGAGATTCTGAGGATAATACACAACCGCGATGATGGATCGATCGTTCGGAGGAATGTATTCTCTTTCTTTTATGTTTTAACCACAACAATGGAAACGATGATGAATAGGATGATAATAAATTTCAATGTTGAGATGATCGATTGAGAAGATGATCTGGTGGAGAAGTAAATAATAACGGATGCACTGATGTCGAAGGTCTTCACTGAGTGTGGGATCGAACGAGTGTGATGTCTCTTTTTTCGGAAAGTGTTTTTGTTGTTGCAACAACGTCGACACAATGATGAACGATGGATCGGATGGTGACGATGACAATATAATGTTGATCAATTTTCAATGAAACGCTGAAACAGAAGAGTGATCAAAAATTAGTTCCAGCTAATCTGAGAGAAGGAATGCAAAATCTGCGAGGATTGAGATGGTGATGATGTTCTTCGAATAGTATTCGAAATGAAATCAAAAATGAACAAATGAAGAGGAAGCAAAAAAACTGACAACTGGCGTTCTCATGAAAGAAGAAGAAGGAATACCTCTTGCTGTTGTTTGTTGTTGTGAAACGTTTCCAATCGGAGAGATTGATGTTTCTTTTCTTTCTTCGAGTCAGTTCAAATCATTCCATCAGTTTGACAACTTGTTTCGCGAAGAGAGATTTGTCAAAGTAAAAAAGGTCAGTGTTGGTAAAGACAAGTGACAGTGATCAATGGTTCGAATCGGAACACTTTTACTTTTTACAGCCGAAACATAACAGTAACTTTAGTTCATCACGTAGATCAAGAACTTCATATCACTGACGACGACAAATCAGCGTCTGTTGGATAGGAAGGTCTGTCTTTTAGAGGACGTCGTAGTGCTTCTGTACAGTAATTGTTATTCGTTCACAACAAGTGAAAATGAATTGATGGTACTGTGATAGTGTTGTTACGAATTCATAACTTAGACTTTTTCGAAGGAGTTTATTATTTGGTGAGTGTTTGACTTTGTAGGCACGGAGGAAGCCAAAGAAGTTAACGTAACAAGTATTCATGATCGCCATCAGTCTTTCTCACGTGGGTCTTGTAGCCCTTTTCAAAATCTTTGGCCGTGACGACATATCTGTTCTTTCTCACAGCTTGCATACCTGCCTCTTGACAAATCGCTGCAATCTCAGCACATGATATCTTGTCAGGACGGGAAACATAATCTTCCAAATCAACGTCTTCTGCTAAATTCATCTTACTGGTACAAACTTGGAATACCAAACGTTTTTGTCGACGGTCTGGTAGTGGGAACTCAATCTTTCTATCCAAACGACCTGGACGAAGCAAAGCAGGATCCAAAGTATCCCATCTATTGGTAGCCATGATCACTTTGACATTGGTAGTTTGTTCGAAACCATCCATTTGTGTCAACAACTCGAGCAAAATACGTTGTACCTCACGATCGGCTCCTGTTTGAGCATCAAAACGTTTGGTAGCAATTGAATCGACTTCGTCAATGAAAACAATAGCAGGTGCATTTTCACGAGCCAATCTGAACACGTCACGAACCATTCTTGGACCTTCACCGAGATACTTTTGTACAAATTCTGAACCAACTACTCTAATGAAAGCAGCAGTGGTATGGTGGGCAACTGCTTTGGCCAACATGGTCTGGAGTTAAGAGTTCATGTTAAAAATAAATATTCACATATAGGTACACAAGCAATTTTGGGTTGTATCAGAACGATGTGAAACCAGAGATGCAATGTGTTGCAACAAGAAGAGAGGTAAAAAGAAACATATTGTCCATATCACACAATAATAAATGATGTTATGTAAGGATGTGATAATGACATTCATCAGTTTCAATTTCAACCATTAAGAATACCACTTACCTTTCCAGTACCAGGAGGTCCATACAATAAAACACCTCTTGGTGGATCGATACCAATTTGTTCATATAATCCAAAGTGTGTCAGTGGAAGCTCAACGGCCTCTCTAATTTCTTGTTTTTGAATATCTAAACCTCCAATATCTGCGTAGGTAACATCAGGTCGTTCATTAGCTCCAACCAATTGAATACTACTGTCTGCTTCAGGGGGTAAAACCTCTACCAAAGCACTTGAATGTCTGTGTAGGGCAACTGAAGCATTGGGCTTCAATAATTCTCTGTCAATCGTGCTCAAGATTCGAACATGACTCGATGAGCCAGTTGTTGAAGAAATAATTCCAGTATTTTGATCAATCATTTCCAAGAATTGTCCAATTACGAGAGGTACTGATTTGATTCGTTTCACCTCCTCTTTGGCTCTTAATAATTCTCTTTTCAAGTTCTTTTGTTCGTACTTGACATATTCTTCTTGGATATCATGAAATTCAAGCTCACTCTCAATATGTTTAAGCTTTTTGTAGAGATCTTGTTCGGAAAGTTCTTGAAGAGGTTTGAGAAGCACGCTCAATTCATCCTGTTGTTCGGTAGCTTGTGCTTGAGCGCTGACTTCATCAACATCCATTTGATCAGCACCGCCTGGTGATTGTTTCTTCTTTCCGAGGCCTAATTCGTCCATATTATATTTTTATATATAAGTGTATCTATTCATATCGTTGTCAATGGTGGAGAAAATCATGATGGTCATTTTACATTCAATCCAATCACAGAAAGATGAAAAGAATGTAATTGTTTCATTGGTTTCATTTCAATACATAAAACACCAAAAGTATATTCAGAACATCATCAAAAAAGCATTAATGTTTCGGATCAACCCATTCTTAAGCAAACACTTTTATTAATTCCAAAGAAAACCTACATTTCCAGTCTCGATAATTTTTTTTGTTTGATGATGATTTATTTTTAACTGTACTCTTCCGCGTGGAAGATCTTTCTCGCTTGACATCAATGCCTGTACAGGGTCTCTCCTTCAATTTTTAGGGCAAACCAGAATTGAGAGAAAAAAGAAACTACTAAACGATGGTGAGCTCTCTCTTTGTCCTTCTCTTATTATTGAGATGGCCTTCTTGTGCAGTACATTTCGCGCCAATAAAATTCCAATTTAAAAAAGAAAAAAATAATATTCACAACCACACAACATCCAACACCACATGATGTCGTCTTCTCGCACTACTTCCTTTTTGGATCCGACCACATCACGTGGAATTGCCCTTGAAATTGAACAACATGTAGAACAAAAACAACTTGAACAAATTCATCCATTCCGATCTGGCCAGCTCATTCCTTTTCAATCTTGTTATTATGAATTCCGAGTGGAATCGTGGGATGAATTATTGAACGAAGGAAAGAAGAAGAATTCTTTCGTAAATTATTCTAACAATCTCTTGATTCACATGTTATTAAATAATAATGCAAATTATGATAGTTTGAAAATGCTTGTTCCTTCTTTCCCACTTAATTCTCTTCCTTTTACCTCCAACAATAATAATGGTATGCCATACCCGAGTATGCTAACAAGTGGTAGTATGAATTCTTCTTTTGGAAATGTTTCTGTGAAAAACAATGAAACGAGTTGCAATCTTATACACAATCATAGAGATGGATGGAATGGAACAAATTTTGTAATGAGTCCTTTATTTTCAAGTCAAACCAATGTCAACAATAGTGGGCAAACGCATGACGTTCTTAATAATAGTAATGTTCAACCAATTTCTTCTCAATTTTCAACAAACTTCGTATCGAATCGGACACCCAAAGATCCTCTACAAAATAATATTTTTCAAAATTACTCAGGACCTTTCAGAAATTTTACTGGTGGAATTTCCACGTTTAATGATGTTATTTCACAACCACAACCACAAAAACCCGCCCAAGATATAAGCCGAAGAATTCCAGTGAAATTAATTTTAAAAGATTTTCACACAAATCTTTCAAATAGCAACATAAGTTCTCTTCCAAATGCATCCAATGATTTGACACAGCTACAACAAAAACTCTTTCTCAAATTCCAAAATCAAATTCGTGGTTTTGTGAAATGGTTTAAACGACGAGAGGAAAAATTACAAAATATTCAATGCTCTGAAAGTAATGACATGATTCCGTTGGAATTCCTTAATGATCACACATTGATGGATAAATTAATCCATAGTACAACCTCTCCATTGAATCATTCAATGAGAATTCCTCCTTGGATATACCTCAACGTGGATGCACACAACATTCCACACGATTTGAAAAGTGACAAGAATTTTTTCATCAAAGGTATGAACAACTTTGGAACCTTAGTTTGGAAGTTCATTCCTAACTCCCTCAAAAGCGATCAAGAAATAATCGACGCTATGGTTGAACAATTCATTGAACAAGGACACACACAAGCTCTCAAGTATGCCTCTCAAAAATTGAAAGATGATTCCGAATTTGTGATGAAAGCTTTGCGACATGGTGGCGAATGTTTACAATATGCTTCTGATCGATTGAAAGATTCACTTCCTCACGTGTTGCGATCTCTTCCAGGTGGACTTGTTCATGCGAGTGAACGATTTCGACAAGATTTTGAATTGGCTTTGCAACTAGTTAACAGTAATGGTCTTTGTTTGCAATACTTGTCCAAGGAGTTGCGATCGAATCGACAAATTGTGGCTAGTGCTGTGGAACAGGATGGAAACGCTCTTCAATTTGCATCTGAAGAATTGCGAGACGATACAACAATTGTAGATATAGCCATAGAAAACGACCCTGACTGCATTCGATTTGCTTCACACCACATTCTTTCATGCAAGAGTTACATGATGGATGTGGTGTCAACAGATGGCTTTCTTCTTCAATATGCTTCTAAAAATTTGAAAGAGGATGAAGAAATTGTTGAGAAAGCATTTCTTAATGACCCACCAAGCATTGTACATGCTTCTAAAAAATTTTTACTGAAAAACAAGTCCTTCTTGTTGAGAATTTTAAAACAAGATTTGTCAAATGCTGCTTTGAAAGCATTAATGAACGATAATGATTTTAAATCTCTTTTTAGAGATAAGGAATTTGTTATTGAATGGTTAAAAGTGAGAGGTGACATATTCATAAGCAAATACTTTCCACGTGATCTTTATGGCAGTGATAAGGACGTTGCTTTGGCTGCTGTTCTTTCAAATGGGGAAAATTTAGATGAAATTTCTCTATTTGTACGACAAGATGAAAGTTTTATCACCGAATGTGCTAAACATGGAGTATTTCCAATGATATATGGCAATAATGATCAAGTACAATATTTCGAACGATTGCAACGAGTGCGAATGGAAGCAGAGTATTATGGATGTCACATTCCCTCACATTACAAAATATCTAAACCCATTCAAAGGTTGTACATAGATGATACGATCCACATGAGTGGGACATTAGATACAAGAAATTGGGTTGATTTTGTCAAGTTTAACAAGGTCCTTCAGGAAAACAAAAACATTTTTGAAACAGGGGAATGACGATGAATATTTTGAATTCGAAGGACTTGATGAATTTGAGCAACGACCACACTGGCTTACTAATGTTTTGTATTTTGGTTGGGTAAAATAACACTAAGCCACACCATGATGGTCATTTACTTTCAAAATTACACTGTGTAGTAGTAATGATTTCCATAACCCAAATCAACAAAACTAATTTTGTGGGAAGTGTCATTGAGCTGATCCGTTCAATAATTGAATAATTTCTTCCGAAGCATTTACTTGCTTTGCAAGATCCAGGGGCGTTCGATTGAACTATGTGGAGTAAGTGCATGTCCTTTTCCACTAACAATGGAATACATACCTTCTCTCTGTAATTCAGGTCAGCATGATTTGCAATCAACAGCTCAATCACATCCTTGTGTTTCATATAAACTGCAACATGAAGTGGGCTCCAATCTTCGCCATATCCATAGTTGATTTGGTTGACATTGGCTCCTTTCTCAATTAAAATCTTTACCACTTCGATTAGTCCAAAATGGCATGCTGCATAAAGTGGGGTCTGCAATGAAGAGAATGGTACACCAAAAGAGTATGCAGTGAAAAAAGGTACACCTTAATGAAGACCAATGGGAAAAAGGAACAAACACTTACATACTACAAGAAGATGGTACCTCCGAAAGAAAACTTCAAAAACATACGACCTTTTCTCAAAATGAGCAAACACGTAAATTTTAACTTGACAACACTTACAGTCTGTGGAGTGTGAACAGAACGTTAGTTTGTCAAAACCACAACTTACAACCTGAAGTGAAGGAAAAATTTTCTGAGAAAATGACAGACATGTCCAACCTAACTTACAGTCTAGACATGCCCAATAGGATGTATTCATTACAGTAATGAACGTAATACTTACCATCTACAATACATTGCAAGCGAGATTATTGGATGTTTGTTTGGAGTAACCTGTCATACTTACAACCTGCGTGATGATGTTTTCAAGCTTGGTCTGACGCAGTTAAAATCATTCGGATTACTTACTCCATACTAACAGAGAATACTAAGTATCATAACAGGACTCAATTTTGTGACGATACTTACATCCTTCAACAAACACATAATTAATATTAACTGCCACAACTTTTCACCCCTGAATAATACTCACATAATCATTCTGGAGAAGATTCTAGACAACAAATTACAACTCGAAGATACGTACTCCCTAATAAAGTTTGTCTCTTCTCAAGACCTACTATTGTTTGTCACTTACAGGCTGTTGTTGGAAAGGATATTCAACCTTTCAAATTGTAGCAAATACCTACATGCTTTGCATCATGTCCAGCAACAATGCATCTCGCGAATTTAGATGAACATACCCACTGTTCCAGGTAAGAATTCCCCTCAAGGAACACCATCATACTTACTCCCTGTTCAGCCAGAGATGGTTGATATATTAATGAAAAAACCATCATGCTAACTTACTCCCTATAGCATTAAGAGATCAATTAAGATGATGGTTAATTTTGTCGGTCATGCTGGAAATACCCTTTCACTTACAATCTGGATAGAGTGAGAATAAATATTGTTCAATTATTCTCTGAAACATACCACCTGTGAGGAATCGGAAAGTTTGTGGAAAATGATTGTAAACTTGTCTACATACATCCTAATTATGACAGCATGTCACTAATTTTCATTCATTTTCAAACGGAGTTCATACGTACAGGCTGATTGAATTCTTTCAAGAATTTGAATGTTATGTGAGCAATACATACTTCCTATTTTCACATAATAAGGTTTCAAAAATGTTCACTTGAAATAGGAAAACCTACATTCTGATGTTAAAAGGTGATTTGGGGGGAAAACGTTCAACTACATCAACTACTCACGCTCTGACATTATTATTGAGAGCTCTGTTGGAAACATTCAAGCACAATCACTTACAAACTTTTCTTAGATGCTTAATAATTAATTTAAATTTCCTATGGACAACTTACTCCCTAAGTAAAGTGTAACATGGAGAGCGAACTTTAACAACATGTAAAACATACATCCTAAAGAATGTAATGTCACTCTAGTCATTTCAGTTTTTTCATACATACCCACTTGAGAATATTGACAAAATATACACGGTCATCTCAATATGAACACTTACACTCTGTTGCAAAAATGTGACCCTTCAATTCAAATGTCATACACGACTTCACTTACACTCTGTCGTACATGTTAGTGAGCGGCTTATTACTGGATTACTATGTACATACTCCCTACATTTGTATTTGCATTTCATTTCAAACTCCTCCTTATTTGTTGTACTTACAACCTAAGAACAGTTGTGAGTTGTTTCTTCATATCATTAGGCCTCGTTCAAAACTTACACACTAATTTGGAAGGAATGAAAATTAATGATTGAAATCATCATTGAAGAATGATGGACTCTACGTACTTTCTGAGAAGGCTGGCTCAATCGAACTTGAGATCAAGAAATAACACGTACTGGCTAATCATGTTCACCATGAGAGATATTTCTCATTCTTCTTTCATAAATACACCACATACGTTCTACATAAATCATTCAGATGGTTGAAGTACGAAAGAATCCAACGATATTGATACAACATTTGAACCGACAAATATTTCAGAATCTACTCATACAACATGATCACTCACATACTGAACTCCGACGATCATCAAGAATCCATCACATTCAAACATATTCATAATATGCTCAATCATCCTCTCATTGTTCAACAACCTACAGCTGTTTCATTCAAATTCAAATTATTCCCTTGCAACAATTGATTCTTCGCCTCTTCCACATTCCCGTTTTGAATGGCTTGCACCAATCTTAATAAACCCATTTTTTTATTGAATGATATAATTAGAAAGATCACAAACAACAACAACATTCTAACAAGAATGGGGTCCCCACATTCATGCAACTGAAATTGTCTCGAATTTCAAATTTCTTCATCATCTTTTGGAAAAGTCTCATAAATTTTCAACGATTAATCAAATCCAAAACAATAAAAATGAAAAGAGCAATCGCCTCTCGCCAAGTGGTACTCACGCTGGCCACAGCACCATCGTCAGGAGGAAGAAATCATCTTCTCGCCAAAACATCATCATCGGCCAAAACTTGTTCTTCAGGATTCCATCATCACCAACAAAACCAATACGCTATGTTCTCTACTTCCTGTTTCACCAAAGCAACAGCTTCCACCTCTGGCAACAACAGTAACAATACGTCATCATCGGGCACTACCACTTCGCCATCATCGTCGTCCAATCCAACAACAACAACCAAGGCAACAGAATCCATCAAATATAACAAGGAAAATCAACTAAGACCTCCTTCTGAAGCAGGTAGCGGAGGAAGCAAAAAATCACCTTCCTTGCTGTTCAAATTGTTACTTTCTCTTTCTGTCATTTCAGCAGGCTCTCTTGCAGTCCTCATGTACTTGAAGGATGATATTGAGAAAGCTCGTAAGCTCGAGAAGGAAATTTCAGAGTTGAAGGCCTACCAGAAGCAAGCATTGAGTGATTTAAATGCAGCCAATAGGGACAACATGGAAGGAGAGAACAACTCTGAAAAAGAAGAAAAGATTCAAGAATTCAATAACAAGGCCAATGAAGAGAGATCAGCACTCGAAAATGCTCTTCAAACCGAGTTGCAAAACACTCAACACAGACTTCAATCCATTGCTTCTCAACTCGAAGCTCTTCATCGTGAGAAATCCTCGATTGTCCAACAAATGACCACTCTCGAAAACTCACAAACAGCCATCAAGAAGGAGGTCGAACAGCTCAATTCCGAAAAACAATCGCTCACAGCAGCCATTGAGAATGCAATGACTCACTCATCGGTACGAGTGGATAGCTCTAAATTGGCATCCAAAGAAGGTCCTCTCTCAGTAGAAGATCGAGATTTATTGATTCTTCGTATTCAACAAATTGAAAAACAACTTGCAACCAAAGATCAACTCTTACGTACTTTGGAGCACGAGTATGAAACAAAATTGAATCGAGTGCGAGCACTTAGTGAGGAGCAAACTAAACTCGAAATGGACAAACTCTCTGCAAAACTCTCAGAAAAGCAAACAGAATTGCAATTGTTGAGAGAGAGACTCTCGCAAGAGTTGAGTGCTGAGAAATTGAGACTTTCATCTGAGATGGAGCAATCCCTCAAGGAACAAGCCCAAGATATTTCCTCCCTCTACTCTTCTCACGCACAAAAGAAAGATTTACAAGTGAGAGAGGCTGAGGCCAAATTGAAACAACTAGAAAAGCACTTCGCTGAGTCTATTGATTATTTCAATGATAGCCTTAAATTACAACAGTACACAACAGCCATCATTTCATTCCAAGATGCCACTCTCAATAAGAAGCAACCATGTAAGAAAGAGGTGGAAAAGTTGAAGACACTCGCTGAAAATGATGATCTTGTGACCACTGCACTCGCTCTCATTCCCGAACAGGTCATACTCGAAGGAGCTGCCTCATCCGAGGACTTGAGGAATAGATTTTTGACCGTCAAGAAACAAGCTTTGGCCTCCTCCCTGACACCTTCGCATGCTGGACTCTTTGGATATGTGACTTCGAAACTCGCTTCAGTCTTTGTTGTTGAAGAGCATGGTTTGGTATCAGGCGAGTCTGTGAATGCAGCACTTGCCCGTGCTGAATATTATTTGAAACATCGAAGATTGGAAAATGCCTTGTCAGAAATTGTCAATATTTGTCAACAAAAGGACAATGAAAATTTGAAATTTGTTTTGACTGATTGGATGAAGGATGCCAACGATAGAGTTCTATTGGATCAAGCATTGAGGATGTTGCAATCTCATCTTGTGGTTCTCTCACAATCAGTTCAATAATTAAACCTTTTCAATTCGCCTTGTTTGGGATTTGTTTTGGCGATGTGATTGAATTTGATTATGTTATGGCCATCTCCCATCTTGAAATGTCAGTCATCTCGATATGGCGAACAGTCATTTAAAAAAAATCAAAAATTCAACGCCAAGTTCCACTATCGAAGACCCTAACAAGGACTTTCGTCGGAGAAGAGAGAGTGAGTGATTGAGCCAAGCATCCCCCTCTTTTTCTTCTTATAACAGCCAAACAACATCATCTCTCTTCCGAGTATTCCTACTCATTAAAGAATTCTCAATTATTATTATTTATACAACTTGTTCCAGCTGGAAGATACCCCTTATTAATCTTCCATCATCGATCACCACCATCATCATCATTATCATCATTTGTAATTTCATTCGGAATTGATCATCTTCTCTCTTTTTTTAATTTATTATTACACAACACGACCATCTTCACGATCAGAACTCTGTGTTTTTCATTTTCAAAAATTTAGAAACACAAACATGAACCCAAACAACAACGAAAATGAAAACATTAGCACCATGAGTAATGACATGAGCACGGAATCAACAAGTACATCCTCTGTCATAAGTAATGGTACAATTACTGATTCCACTATGAGTCAATCATCATCATCACCCGAAGAACAACATCAAATTGCCCAAACTGGTCAATCGCACGATACATTGTATTTATCATGTCAGGATAGCTCCACTTCTTCAAACACCACAAGCACTAGTACCAATACGACAGTCAATCAAGAGGTCTCTTCCTGCTCTTCCTCTCAAAAGAGACCTCCTTCCACAGAGAGACCACGAAAAGCTCTTCCAAGACCTCACCACCATCAACACGTTTCTCCCAACGTCTTTACCTTCGATACGGAAATTCATGAGGAAAGTCTTGGAAAGAAGGGAGCTGAATTTCTTGTGGATCATGGCACTGCTGCCAATACTGCATCCACCACCAGTGGTGAAGATTCTACTACTACGGAGAGTAGCAACAACAACAGCAACAACAATTCCACTACAAATCACCATGAATTGACACCTCCTGCCAAAACAAACCAGAGACGATGGAGCCATAAACGATCGGCCTCTGAAGCCTATTCCTTTACTCCTCCATCGGCCTCGAGTATTATCAGCACAAATCCATCAACACCACAACTTTTACCATATAGCTCAGGTTCATCAACCACAACAGGAGGATCACAAGAAAAGAGTGGAGAGAGCTCCCGAAAGAAATTTACTCTTTTTGGATTCACATTTGGCTCTTCTTCTTCGAGTAATAACAGTAAGAGTGGTTCAAGTTTGCATTCGTTGGCTCTCAATGTTTCCAATGCAAGCACTCCCACCTTTGCTACTTCTCCTGTGACTACATCAACAAGTACCGCAGGTTCCGAAACTCTACAAATTACATCCTCCGTCACAACTTCATCGACTAGTGAAAATGCTACTACGACATCTTCTGGAAGTTGTTCAGAGTCCAACGAGGTCCAAACAAAAAAAGTTGTTCTTGACGAAGAGACAATGAAAAAACGTCAAGGAGTTCACATGGCAAGCCCTCTCAATAATTTCATTTCGGACGAACAACCCACTCAGCAAAATTCAAATGAAATTGACTTGATTGGATTTTTAAAAACAGCCTCTTTGGACGATAGTTCTATTGGAAGACCATCATCAACAAGCGAAACAGACAAAACTGATGCTTCCACAAACAGAGAAACAACTACGTATGGTTTCAAGACATTTTTGGACAAAATGAGAGGAAAAAGTATTTTCGCAGGAAAAATTTCAAGTCCAGTTCCAATTGGTGACCAAGAGTCCTCCAGTGAGAACAGCAATCCAAGTTCTGCAATACCATTAACCTCTGGAAACGACGATACTAGCTCAGTAAGCCAAAAGGCTCCAAAGAAACTCTCTGAAAAAGAAATGAGAAGACTAAAATTATTGGAAAGAGAGAACAATCAAAGAGAAATGATGGACAATATTCTTGAGAAGATCAATAGGAATGGAGAATCATTTGCTCATCTTTCATTTTTCGATGAAAATGATCAAGGTATGTTTAAGGAATAATGATTATTATTTTCACGTGACCATATATGGCTCATATTTTTTGGATTGCTGACTTGTATATTGTTCATCACCTTTTTGGAATAATTTCAATTTGTTATTGGAATGCGGATATCTTTTCGGTATTTTAATTATATCAATATTTATGTTCATTTGAAAATATCTAAAGAATGGCAGTATATTGGATATATTCAAAAATATGATTCTTCAATGACTGATGATGAAATTTACATGATGTATGCATTAATGGGTGTTGGAGCTGGAGAAGACGGTGGAGCATCGGCAAAAAAGGATAAAGATGTGAAAGATTTTTCTGGTGGCATATATGGAGATTCGTGCGTTTGTCCCGTGTTGAGTCGACTTTGTGGAAGAGGAGAATTACGATATCCAAATGGAAGTGTCTATGAAGGTGATATTATTAGAGGAAAGCGTCACGGATTTGGTAAAATGATCTTTCCTTACAAGAATACAATACCAACCACAACCACCAAAAAATCATCCTCATCTCAAATCGAGCAAGTACCTCCTACTGCCATTGCTATCGGCCAATGGGTGTGCAATAATCCATCTGAGGCCATACCATTCAAAGTGACCTATTCGAATGAGTTGGAATATTGGGGAACTTTTAGAGCCAAAACAAAAATATCCTCTGCCTATGTAATTGGTATTAATGACCTCGAGAAACACAAAGAGGGAGAGTTATACCATGTCATTGAAAATAAGAAATATTTTGGAGGCTTCAAAGAAGATTTGAAAGATGGATTTGGTGTTGAAGTGATGGCCAATGGTGAACGATATTATGGAGGTTGGAAAAATGGTCTTTACCACTACACGGGTACCTATCAGTATGTTGACGGTACTTATTACCAAGGAGAGTTTAAAAGAGGATCACGAAAAGGTAAAGGAAAGCTTTATCTTGCCACTGGTGACATTATTGAAGGTACATGGAATGGAGATAAGGTGGAGAGTGCAATCTTTAAGAAAGGAACTGCGAAAAATGTCGAACTGTAAGTAGTTTTATAGCAAGCATATCTTCTCCAAGTAACACCATTTGTAATTATAATTAATATTATTAACACATTCCATTCTAATTTCCAATATTGTACATATTGTACATATTGTGATTATTATTATTTGCACACCATGTACACAGTACCCATCTCTTCCAACTTCGAACACAAATTAACGAGGCAATCAAATTATTCCAAAATGTCGGTCACATGGATGATAACAACTATTTACAATTTTTGAAAATGACAAAGAAGGAAAATATCGAACGTCCAGAACTAGAAATGAAATGGAAATATTACTCACTCATGAGCAAGGAAACATGGAGAAAAGAGAGAGAAAAATTAACTGATTTTTACGGCAAATATGAAAAGTATGACCTCACAGATAAGGTTACTTTCAAGAATGAGTTGTTGAGACTTCTCGGAGAAAGTATCAAAACAGACGGACCAGCACCTCCTGTTGCATCATTTGTCAAGAGCTTTATTGAATTCTTTGACAGTCTCTATCATGGAAGTTACTATGCCGGAAATAATAGAGGACAGTCAGGCGCTCGAAAAGTCACCGCTAAAAAAGATGGCGTCCTACTTTATAATGCCATTGATGATTTGAAGAGCTACATTATTTATTTGTGTGATCAGGTCGTTTGGGACTATTTTGGAAATGAAATTTTAAGTTCTAAATTACTCTCGAATGGAGGAGCAGCAAATCATTCGGGTGATTCTTCCGAAATGCAATTTGTTGAGCAAGATGAACAATTCGACGAATGTGATGACGAAATTATTTTCGGTAATCCACAATCTGTTGCCAATGTTGATTCATCCAAATTGAAATTTAACTCAATGTCACAAGCCTATAATTTTTGTAAGACAATTATTGCAGATCATCTTCACAAAAAGCTCTATTCTACCACATTCGAGCTTTATGAATATCATTTTAGGGATCAGGACTTGCTCATTAACCAGAAAATTAACTCGATCATTTCCACATGTACCTTACAAAACTTTGGAGTACATAGTGACTTTATTTCTTCTACTACCACCACTCCATATAGCGAGTGCATGCAAATTATGAAAGAAATCAAATTCTCAAACTCAGTAGAGTCCAAGATACGAGTTCTTTCCAAGTTGAGAACTCAAGTAATGCAATCCATGAAAAAAGTGAAAATTGAAAATAAGAAATTGAAAAAACAAAAGGCAGGACAAGGTATGTTTAATCGAAACATTTTTGCTCATTGGCATACTACTTACATTTTTGTGTGAACTCATGTATGATACAATTCAATATTGGTTTAATTATTTATTTTGTGATGGATTGAATTCAAATTTTGGCATGACCATTCACGATTATAAATCGTTGATCTCACTTTAGAAGATTTCGAGAATGTAGAGAGCGATGATTGGCAACCTGGAGCGGATGATGTGACATCATTGTACACTTATACCTTTATCAAGACCAATATTGGAAACTATACGGCACTTTTCAACTATATCAACGATTGGAAGCCTCCCCATACAAGTTTACGACCAGTTTCACATGTTATTTCATTCTTTGAGGGATTTTTAAATTATATTGTCGATTTAGATCCAAATTTAACTGTGAAACAAAGCGAACTTGGAGAAAACATGGGTGAAAATTCCGATGACACCTATGTATTCATTTCAAAATATGGACTTACCAAACAGTTGGAGCGTGGTATTGAATTGGAAATTTTCAGAAATCAAAGCAAAAAGGAAAAAATTGAAAGACAATTACAAAAACCAAACCTCACACAGGAAGAGCTTCAAGATTTGAACCAACAACAACGTGAGGTTCAACTCATCAGCTTTTCATGGGTGTCCCCTCTGTTACTATTTGTGTCTCTTCAGGTGGGACATTTCCAATTGCAAATTAGTAGAAAAACTGATCTCAACACTAGTAGGATATTAACAAACCATGAATCAGATGCAAACTCTTCAAATTCTTCGAATGCAACAAAATTATTTAGTATTGATCTTTCAGATGTCACTACCAGTTCAGAACAGAACATGGTGGACGGTAGTGGAAACATGTTAAATCTTGCACAAGCTTTGTTCAAGTATCGAAATTTAGTGAAAAATGTTCTCGACAATGCCAAACTAGGATTTAATATTACTTTGAAACAACATAACAACAATGGCAGTAACAATCTATCCACAGAACCACAAGAAGATTCAAACCTCACAAACAATGCCTCAAACAAAGAGTACATTTCAATTGAATTTGACACGGAGCCATTCCCAAGTTATGTCTACTCGGAACTCTCTCTTGAAATTGCCAAATTTATCAAGTTTGAGCTTGAAAACTCTGATTCTCATCAGTATAGAATATAAACAGGTTTGAATGCAGGGCATAAATTACTTTTAGCATGTTTGGAGATGAGCAAAGTGGTTCAACGAGTCAAATGTCAACACTAGAAAAAAAATGATCATGTACTCATTACCGAAGAAATTTCATCATTCATTTCGTCATCGTCGATTTTTCTTTCTCATTCTTGGTGTAGTGCTCATTCTCGTGGTTTCCTCGTTGTGGTACTCGTCCGAGTTTTTTCATTCGAAATTTTTAAAAAAATTAAACAATACAAAACAATCACAAAAAGTCTCTTCATCATCATCTTTGATTAAATCCATTCTTCCTACTCTCTTTACCACTCCGATCGGATTGGATTTATATTTGATTGGAGATGAAATGGAATTTTATGATTTTTCACAATTGATCACAAAACACTTTGCATCTGTTTTTGAAGCTCAACAATTTCCAAATGTATTTCTTGGAATTATTGTTCGCAATTCGACAACAACAAAATCTCAAACAGTCGATCGGAAAATTCAATCTTCTGAGAGGATTAGTTTTTTAGTGGAAGGTTTGAGGAGAATTCCAAATTTGAAAGGATGGACGATTTTACAAGATGCATCTTTACATGATGACAACCATTTTGACAATTTATTACGACATGCAGCTAACATGTTTCAATATTTTATATTTTTCAATGAAGAAAATGACAAAATGAAAAAACAAGAGATTCAATTTCCCAAGAACAAGTCGCATCATGTGATTGCAGTGATGAAAGCTCATGTCATTGTCAACAGTTTTCCAAATATTCGAAAAAACATTCGAATCGTTGATATGGAAAAATTAGAGACAGATCTAGATAGGAACAAGGTCCATTCACACAATCGCTTACCAAATACTGATATCCCTCTATCGACATTCAAAATTGATAATTTCAATCTAGGAAGAATTTGGTATGGACGAGTGAAACATTTAAAGCAGAAACCTTTCTTATTTTATGGAGGTTATCATGAGATGGCGTTGACATTTTCTGAACTATTGAGCGATCGCTCTTCTTCTCACAAACACACGAATAATCACTCGGCAAACATGTCTACAGAGAATGACCGTAACTTGTCGCAAAGAATTTTAGACAAGTATGGAATTCGTGTGCTGTCAGACGATAGATTTGAGGCATCTGAGTTGCTTACACTCACAATCAAACCTGGTCATTTAATACATCATCAATTCCAAGTAATTATTGATGGAAAAAAACAAGAACTTGGTGTGAGCTCACTTTTAAACTTTAAAGAATATGAACGACGAATGAATTTGAAATAATGGAAATTCATGAATTTTCAGAATTGATCATTTACGACCAAATGACCATCATTTCACAGGAAATACAAGTGAATCATTAGGATGCCTTCGTTCATTATGAAGTCTGATGAATCGCACCCGCTCATATTTTTGATCAGTACTCCAACTCATAATGCTTTTCAACTCTCAGTACATTATTCTCCAAAAAAGTGGCCTTATACTTGAAAGTCCTCACACATCCACCAGCATTAAATAAGATTGGAAGCCACAAGAAATGATCGTATCTATCATCCCAAGAATCATACCAACAAAACGATGGTTTGTTGACATTAATATTTTCATCTTGTTTCACACCATGATTCTCGTGACCATTCTCCACTTGTAATGAAAAATAGTCATCCATGTACCCAAAAAAACAAAACGGTTTGACATGATTTGTATCTTCAATGTAAGGAGAAATTGATATTCGACAGTCATGATTGTTTGTCGAAATGGAAACAAGTTCATTCATTTTCTTAAAACTCGAATCAGGAAACATTTGGGCGACACAAAATGCTCCAACAGATATCGTTGCTATTTTTTTCACTTCCCAAACGTTATTTTGGTCATCCATCTGTTGAAATGAAGCAAGAACTAGCTTATCATTCCATGGATTTGGGGTTTGTGTCGATCCATTACTTAAAATAGATAATAGAGTTGCCATTTTCGCTAAAGTGTATTTCCAATCCTGTCGTACATATTCTGGTGAAATTTTAGCTTCTTCTGAACATGCTTGTTGAAATGAATGCTGATAAGAGTCATCATCATGGACTGGTTGTGTGAGAGGCCATAATGGAGTGGATATAATCTCGAACTGTTCAAATGTTGGTGGAACAAGGAAATCAAAATAATCTTCTAATCGAGCCGAACAATAATATCTGCCTCTCTCCTCACCAGAAATTGTAAATAATTTAAAAATTGGAATTCTGAACAAGGATCGGAATATATGATACCAATAATATTCATTATTTCTTCTTCCACAAATTTCATGTATGGTTATTGATCTTTCATCAGTCAGATTCTCATCAGAATGATGATCTACTAATATTTGATGATCTCTTTCATCATCCACAAGATACTCATCATCACGAAGATGATTCAAAGCCCAACACCGTTCCACTTCCAAATGCCATTCAAACACATCATTCATCAAAATAGAATCACAAAAATACTTCCACAGCACATTACAACAAGCCACTTGTTTCCATCTCTGACTCACTCCGACACATGAATAAATAATGCATCGGGGTTCCAAAAATTGAAAAATTGAAAATAAATCATCATGACTACACGACTCGAAAGTCATTTTTTTTGTTGGTCAAATAGTTACCAAAATTGGCCTGAAATCCAAATAATTCTCATCTTACTAGTTGGTAAATGTCACACCAAATACTATGAAAACACAAGATTCAAAAAACCATTTCAAAAACAATCCCCAATCCTCATGGATTTACCAGCACCAATGGTGCTAACAATAAACTAATTAGATTTTTTTTGTTGGCTTGTGTTTATTTTTGGTAATTCACAACAAATTTCCCTCGATCAATCAAACCATCGTTGTGAGTTGGAGTTCGTTCGTTCTTGTTGTCATGAGAGAGAAATAGAGAGGAAGAATTTGAACGTTGCATTGTTGTGTTTTGGAAATTTCGAAATGAAAGGTTAACTTCACTGACATGGACAGGAATTTCGTTGATAGTTCCATTTCAATTGTCGTCATGGAATTATTGATGACCTTAATACTGTCACAGGCTGAAAAACACAAATCATTCAACACTATGTCATGCTGTTCGCTGTTCAACCTAAAATTTTCATCACTCTTTCACTAAAACTTTCATCACTCTTTCAGAACTTGATATTCTCGTACGACCTTAACATCCACTTGAGGTAATATCTTATAATTGACGTTTTCCCTCTCGATGTGTAATTTCAAATACGTCTCTGGATGATATTCCACATGTTGTTCTTTTTTAATATTTTCAACTTGAGTAATTTGTGAAAAATAAGCATTCATGGCTTTCGAGTCTCCAAATGCAAATAAATCACACAAACCCATCCAATGCATATCGTAAGGTAAATAGAGTGTATTAGGTTCAATTTGAAATCCATTATTGTTTTCAGTTGAATGTTGAACAAAATTCTCGTGGTGGTTAGATTTTGTGTAGAAAAATCTTGGATTTACAAATCGATCAAAAGATAAATCTGTTCTCAATCGAATAATGACATCGTAATCTTTGTGTTTTCGGTGTTGTTTCACATATTCAATTCGTTTCATGTTTGCATGATTCATGAGATGAAGAGAGGAAAGCCAGTTTTTACAGAATTGTTTTGTGGGATGTGTTTCACAAACATCCACGCCACCAAATCTTGCCTTGACATCTTCATCTACAGATTGAACTAAGAAAGAATTTAAAATATAATTTCACATGTGGCATGTCAAATAAAAATGGTTAAATTTCACAAAATTAATTAAAGGTTAAATAATAAATATCATAAATTAGTAATAATTAATGACATGTATCATCAGGAATAATTAAAAAAAATAAATGAGTTAGAATTAAAAATAAAAATTGAGTGATAAAGTAAAATTTTCGTGTTTCCAAAATAACCTTTGTTCAACCTCATGTATAACTCAACCATTTCACACACTTACACAATGACAAATGCCTCACATTCGGTATCGTTTCCTTCATGGCATTAAACTTCTCCAATTCCTCCTCTCTCTCATAGACCAATGTCACGAAAAAATCAATCTTGGGATTTCTTTGTCTCTCACAAAATTCACCACTTTTAAAGTCTTCGATTGTGTAGTGCAAAAGTTCTTCATCGTATCGTTCGAAAATTTCGGGCAATACTCGAATGGATCCCGAGAGAATGATGGCCACATCGAGCGGAGGTAGAAGGGAGGAGATTGAACAAGTTTTAGTCGATGATGATGGTTTATATAATTCATGAATGAAACGGTCTTCGGAAGAGAGCACTGGAGCCGATAAAAATTCCGAAACAAATGCATTCTGTTTCAACAGTACTGTTGTTATTGTTGTTGACAAGAGTAGTAACAGAATTATTGAATTGAAAAAAAGAAAATTGGTGACAGTTCTTTTCCGCGCAGAGTGAGGATGGGTTGACAGCAACGTTGACAGTCGCAACATTTTTTTGTATTATATAATAATGTCTGGAATCCTTATTATAATAATTATATAATAAGGATTCCAGACATCATCATTTTAATGAAACAATTTTTGGTTCAATTAAAAGCCTTACATCTCTTCACACCATTGATTTTCTCTTCTCACTTGTTCCTCTTCTTCCGGTGTGAAATCTTTTAATCATTTAATCAAAAGAATCATTTGATTAGTAAGTGATAAATAGTTTGAATATAACAAAAACTCACTTACCATTGACAATTCCAAAGGTCTGTCTTGTTTGTTCTGGCGTCTTTCCTCGTATCATAAATGCCACCATTGCACAGAATAAGTCCAACAACACTTTCGCATCCATTTGATTACAAATTAAAATCAAATCCAAAAGTTCACCCTGATGCAATCCTTTACAAAACTCGGCAATAGGTTTTGGAACCAGTGTCGGACCTTTCACTGGTTTTTCCAATACATAATCTTCACAATATGCATGCAATTCCAAACAAGTCAAAAACTTTCGAATGGAATGCAGTGAGGAATTTGCAAATGAAAAACTCACTCTTGGTATTGAACCGTTTTGTTGTTGTTGTTTTTCTTGTTGATCGAATTCTGAGAACATGCAAGACACCACTCAATTTTAAAGCTTCTATTGACACATAGAGTACGACGGAATGACTGCCAGTACTTGGATTCTTCTCTGTACATGTGGTGGTGGACTTTTTCACTTGTTGAAAGCATTCCAAACTTGCTTGTAAATGATCCTTCCAAGTGGTATTAACAAAATTATTCTCATCATCATTATTCAATGCTTGTATAAACGTTACATCCGAAAAGTAATGACAACAACAATAGGATCTTTGAGTCTTGTTGTTCTCTATATTCATGTCCGTAAAGACCTGTTCATGATCATCCTCATTGCACTTGACGAGCATCTTCAATAATGAATGCCTGTACTGCAATTGATCTTTCAACACTTCATTGACGGGGTACAAGAATGAATCCACCAACACACCATTTTCATTCAAAAGAACTTCCAGTTCAATAGAGCCTTTCGATGATGAAGAATGAATCATGACCCAATCTTTCAACGTTTTTTCAACGAGCTCTTCACCCGAGTCATACTCAGTATAATATGGACGAGGAGGTTTGAAAGAGATAAAAGAAGATGAGTTGTCGTAAGTATTATCATTATGATCATCATTGTTGTGATTGGTATTCACAGAATCATTCCGATCCTCATCAGAATCATCATCTCCTCGATTCATGAATTCCTCTTCCTCTTCTTGTTCATCCTCTGTGGTACCTATCATACGACCCGTTCTCTCCATTCCATCATCGTCATGATTCTATTCGTAGGAACGAGCCAATTCTTCAGAATAGAGATCAAGGTGTGAGGAACTTGCATCATGCTCAAAAAGAGATGAAGGTGTTCCATTTTTCTTCTTCAATGAAAAGGAATGTGGAAATGGAACACAATTTTCTGAAGGACACAATCAGAGGGATTAAGGTGCAAAATTGAAATGCTTTATTTGAACGAAAAACTTGTGGTTAAGGTGGCAATAAAACATTAAGGTTGGGATTTTCATGAAATACTCGAAAATTATATCATCACATGTTTTTCCAAAATTGGTTTCATGTGATCTCTTGGAATGAGGTACAAGGGATTCTTCTTTGAGTCAATATACAACATGGATTGATCGTGACTGCTTTCTGGAAATTTGTCTGGGTTTTCATGAGTCAATTTGAAATGTCTCACTAAATTGATGAGTGACATGTGCAATTCAGTGCTTGCAATTCGACTGCCAGGACATTTTCTTGCACCAATTCCAAATGGAAGACTATTATTTGTGTTTGATATTGTTGTTGAACCAAGGATTGGACACATTTGTGAAAGAGCCCATATGATCATTCCATAAATGTCAATTGTCATTCCATTCAAATCCATTCAATGAATCGACATACTTACCTGCTGTACATAGATTTTGGAGCCAATGGATGTCCCTTTTCATGTCGCTCTGGAATGAACTCTCTGGCACGAGGAACAAATTCATCCTTCAAGCTTGGATGATAATTCATAATAAAGATTCGAGTGTCCTTTGGAACTAAATATCCATTCAACTCAATGTCATTCAATAACCATCTGCCACTTGTCAAATAAGAAAAAGAATTCAAACGCATGGTTTCTTCCAAGAAATTCTTCACAAGTTTCATCTTCTTATACTTGTCCCAAGTAATTTGCAATCCATTCTCAGATTCAAATTCTTCAGAAGTAGGTTCTCCAAACAATTCCTTCAATTCCTCAAACAACTTGTCCTGATATTCCACATGATGAGCCAATCGATACATTTGATTGACCATAATTCGAGAAGTAATATCCACTCCACCATTCAAAAAGGCACTCAACACTCCTTCACTCTTTTTTTCTGCATTTTCCATTCCAGAAGCTCTTTCATCGACAAGTTCTTTGAGTCGAGGAATTTGTGGATTTGGATTTTCTTTAAACATGCTAATCAATTTTTTACATCCATCGTAAATATTGTCCATTAAGGATTCCATTTCTTTGTATTCTCTTGTTTTAAAGTATTGATAGAGTGGTGGTTTGTTGTCCAATTGAAGAGCAATATCAGTGGCTCGAACAGCTTGTTCCACAAATTCATAAATGGTCCATGGCAATTGTTTTTCAACTTGTTCAGTGACTTTGACACCAAGGAAGGTTTTCGCGACAGCTTTGAAGGTGTAGAGAGAAGTCACGTCAAAGGCATTGGGAAGGTGATATTTTGTGAATTCATGATTGTTTTGTACTTTCTTGAGTTTACTCACAACAGTACGCAAAAAGTCACCATTGAGTTGAGTGATTTGTGGCAAACTGACTTTTTCTAAATTTTCGGGTTTCATGGCCACGTTGTAGAGATTTCTAATTTCTTGCCAATCCTCGAAGAAGGTCATTTCTGTGATTTTCATGAAAATGTCAAATTTCATCATGGTATCATTTTGTGGTTCATGCATTGGTACATCATGATGTGGTCGATTCGATTGACCAATAATAATAACATTTGAAATCGAATACGTGTGATCGTGGCACACACTTTGAATGTAATACTTACCAATTGGAGCCAAAGTAATATCATGTTGTTGCTTATAAAATCGATTAGACTTTAAAAATTCTCTTCGTTCCTCCTTCTTCACCAACTCTTCAATAATGGTTGGATGCGAAACGATCAACATGTTATTGAATGGAATTTTGAGACGAACCATATCTCCATACTTTTCACACAAATCATAAAAATAAATATTTGGAATACCTTTGTGTTGGAGAAGATCAAACAAATTACCGACCAATGGCCACGCTTTTGGTCCCGGAATTTCTTCAAACGATTTTACAGGGTTGGTTTTGTTTGGAGATTCGCCTTTGAGTGTTTCAGAGACTTGTTCAGAAGCAATCACAGCGGCAGATGATGAAAGAATTGGAGAAGTGGTTGATGCCACCGATGAGGAAGCATGGAAAGGACATTGAGCAGCAGCAGAGGATGAAGAGGAGGAAGATACTTCGAGAGTTGTGACGTGAGTATGGAAAAGTCGTCGTTGTGGATCAAAATTGAAAAGTTGGAGATGGTTGAGCGATGGACGAGTGTACAACAACGGAGAATATGTTTGTTGTTGTGGTTGAGAATATTGGTGATGCTTGTTGTTGTTGTTGTTGGAAAGAAGTTTGATCAATGTTCGACGAGTCATTAAAGTGAAAGGGTAGTAGGTCTGTTGTTGTTTTTTTGTGAGTGGAGAAAGTTAGCGGACCTAGGACAACCTGTTTGAGGTGATGGTGTTCAGCGGGTTAGTTCGGTTTACGAGAGGATCGGTTGTCCTCTGCCACCAATCGGAAGACAGGATGTGTAAAAGTTTTCCCTTTTGAAATGAATTGAAACTGGTTGTGTAGGTGAATGTCTTTATGTTGTAGTACGAATCGAAAAACATCAACAACAACGTCAAGGAAAAAGACAAACCCTACTACTCCCAACACTGGAGGTCCAAAAGTGTATGGAAAACGAAAGGTGTAAACTTAATTTCACCAAAATGAAGAAAATGTCATTTCAAGTGATGACACAAAGAACTATTTTGTAATGTTGTTGGGAAGACTCTATTTTGTAATGTTGAGTCTTCCCAAAATCATATTCGAGTTGGGAAGACTCAGTTTTCAAAGTCTATGAAACTTTGAGCGCCTCTGATTTTTTATGTTTTAAAAGTGAGATCATTACTCAATTAGTTTATTCAATTAACTAATTACAATAATTTATCAACGATGGTTTTGATTGCTGTACACGAGCTCTGTGGATTCTTCCATAGTCGTCATGGAGGAATCATTGAAGGCTTTAAACGGAGGAGGAAGTCCACTCGAAATGTTCTTATTCTTTGGGGGAGGTCCAATTTCGAATTCAGAGTTGTTGTCGCACGATGACAAGGAGCTCACATCTGTACATGCCACATCAAAATCAGTGTGAGTATCAGGCCGATTTTTCTGAGGTTTAAATACTCGAGAACTTTTCTGAGGTTGCACCGGAGCTTCATTAGCTTTTCGTTGTTGGGGTTGCAATTTTGAAAGCTTGTTCGAGTTTTGTAAAATGTCACTCACTTTTTTTGCTGCGAAAGGATCCATTCCTCCTCTTGCATTATTTGCTGTGAAGGTGGAGGAATCATCAGTACTTGTCGAAATTGAGCTACAATCTAGATCATTGACAAGAATTTGTTTGAGTTTTTTAGGTATTCCATTCGATGAGGGTTGAAATGCTACATTCCCATTATTGTTGTTATTACTGCTGAATTGGATTTTCGTTGAGACAGCTGATGCAGGTGGTGAATGTATTTGTAAAATTGGTTTCTTCGTTTCCAATACTCCCTGAACTTTTTTTTGGAGCTTGTTTCACCTCACTTCGTGTCTTACTTGCTTGCTGATTGATATTCGCTCTCTTTTCATTGATATTTTCATTTCTCAATTTGTGAATAATTTTAAACAACAATGGAATTGTTTCTTGATGTTCTTCTTCTTCCTCAATTTCTTCATAGGTTGTTCGTAAATTTAATTCATGTGCCAAGAATCGATGATCAAACCTCTCCTCAGGTTGATTGCATTCTTTTTTAAACACCGATGCACTATAATCAAAATGATTGTATTCCAAATACTCAATGATTAATTCATTGATGAGAAATTGCATCTCCGAAGGTTGAGGCCTAAGTTGTTCTTTCTTCAACCAAAATTCAGCCTGTGGTTCAGACAATGATGTATTTGCAGGATCCTCCGATTGTTCAAACGCTTTAAAAATTTCAGCCCTCAAATTCGCTCGGATCTTGTTCAATACACCTCTCTTTTCGAGATTATCTTTGAGGACATCTTTAATTTCTTCGAGCGACATTTTTTTGTAAAATTTTGGCGCCATGAATACTTTACAACAATTAACCTCAACAACCACAAATTTTCAAATTAATTGAAATCGACCCAGTTGTTGACCTCAAACAAGAAGAAGCTCAAATAGAGAAGTACTTTTTTAACCATAAAAAATGTCATCGAATTATTTGTGATCCAAGTAGTAGTATCATTATGCAAACTCATGGCCCCTTTTTACGTTTTATTGATAAAGAAAGAACATGGTTTTGTAGGTCCAAACCATGAATCACCCGACTTACACGTTCCATCCACATGATTGGCGGCTGTTCTGTAGAAGGTATCTTCATACGACTCTGAGAATGGAGCATCTTTATCCACGACACATGAACTGTAGGGTACCAAGCCGTCATTCAATTCTCCATAATTAACAAGCTTACTCAGTAATTCCAGTGGAGCGCTGTACATTGAGTTTAATCCATAGCTACTGGTTCCACACATTTGACCAGTGATATATTCTTTGCCACCTTCTGAATGTCGGACAATCCAGAGTAGTTGGTGTGAAGCGATTCATAGGTGGGGTACATTTTCATCGAGTCTGACATGCAGTAACCACCTTTTGCGGCTAAAATTCGTTTGACATTCCAGTCGTCTTGAGCTTGTGTTATGCAATAATGTACATGACATGTAATTACATTTTGTTTGAACAGAGTAGTGTAAGAACATAAAAGTAGAACCAATGAAGAAATAACATACCACACACAGTATCAAGCATGTTGGCAGCAGGACTGCCCCTAAGGGGACCCATTAAATCGTACCACGAAACACTCTCCTTATCCAAGCTACAAACTCCATTCTTGATTGCTGCAGCTAAAATTAAATTACCCATCGAGTGAGCATAAATAATGACATTCTTCACTACCTCGGATGGTGTGACTTTTCCCTTTTGTTTCATGAGTAATATGTCACAATAACTTTTTTGCAATTCCAAGTTATCCCAACCACGATATTTTGTCTCCTCTCGAATGAACCATCGTTCAGAACATTGAGGTGTGTAATGTGAAACAGGTCCCCAATAATTTTCAAAATCATAATTAATAGGTTCTCCCTCTGTGAGTCGACAGTCATCATAACAACACGATAGTTGTTGATTAGCATTTGTAAGCTTGAAATGTTGCACTTTTCAAAACGAAATACTTACTATCGCTGGGCCACTGTCCTGCTCCGTGTAAGAAGACACAAACTTTTCTCTTGCTTTCATCCAACGCTCGTTGCTCTCGCATGCTGTTTTGTTGCGAACACTTTTTAGAGTCCTTCAACCATGGCAATAAACATGCAATAGAGTCCAAATGGAAAAAGTATGATTTGGCAGGTGATGTATACTGTTCGGATTGCAACAATCCCTTCTCAGAGGAGGATTTTTCGACGAGTTGAACTTTCGTCTTTGGAAAATAGTCTTCCAACTGAGGTGAGGCTTCCAATACTCCAGCACGACTAATTCTATTAAGGCTCTCAGAAGTGGATTGTGTTTTCATGGCTTTCAACTCTTCTTGAATGAGAGGTGATTCTGTATAGAGCGACATTATGTTGTTGCCATTGTCATTTCGCGACGATCGATTAAGGTTGCTGCCACCTCTTGTTCTTGCATTGTTGAGCTGACCCAGTTCACCTCTCCGCAACGACATGGATGCAATGTCCACTGTAAACTCTTGCCCAATAATGTACTTTAAATTCATGAGAGAATTCTTTCGTGTCCTGGCCACACCATTCATCGACAGTAAACGAGGAGAGACAGAAGAAGCGGTTGTATCCTTCTCCTTCTTCATACATAGCAAGTAATGGGAGTGTTCAAAAAAGACAACATATCGATCGAAATATTCAACAGGACATAATCGGTCCGCAGCTTCGTCATAGATTGGAACCTGTTCAGGTATGTAATGATTTGTATCGAGAATGGACTTTAGTAGAGAGTTGAACTCTACTGGAGAGGGATAAACGGAAATTTGGTGGCCCTTTTGTTCGGCAGTTGTTGGCTCAAAACGCACTCGTGTATAGGAATTCATTTGGGAATCAAAGTAGAGGGCCTCTGAGAGAAGGCTTGAAACAGCAACGAGTCGTATGTGCTCCTCGGCCGAGGAAGGACTGTTATGAGCAAAAGAAGAAGAAGAAGGTGTCGATGAGGGAGAAGGTTCCATCAATGAAACAAGAGCACGACCCTTATACAAGGGAATTGCCTTATGATTCTTTTGGAAGGAAATGTGAGGACTTCGTGAATGGACTTTAAAGTCCACTTGAAGGGAGTAGGAGTTGGTGGAAGAGAGAGGAGTTGTGGAAGTGTTGGTATGATTCATGAGTGGATGTTTCAACCATCCTCTGGTTTTTCTTAATAAGGCATGTAATTCATAGTGATGCGATTGAAAATTGTGTATTGATGATGAGGTAGCGGCATGGACCAAGGGAACGGCGTGAAAGAGTGTCGTTATTGAGAGGAGTAGTTGGAAAACAACAAGAAGGGCTAGGTGGGTACTCCTTACTCTAGACATGATGATGAGGGTCTGATTCATACTTGAAGCACTCCACAAACCCGACCACACACATAGATCTGAATGAAACTATTGACCTAATATACAAATTGATAGGATCCAATCAAGTACCTCGGAGGATGATGATAATTCAAGATCTCCGAGAGATTAAACACTCCAACTATCGTTTGACAGTTTTTTCTATTCCTCAAAGAAGGAACTGCAATGAAGTGGCAGCACAAACGGTTATTCGTCTTTTTTTTTCTAAACCCTGACCTCACCAACTTTCACCGAACCTTCACAACAGGAGCCTTCAAAAATATTTCTTTACAAGGCAAGTATGCTTTCGAAGACATCTTTCTAAAATCAACGTGATATTGAATTTCGCCTCCAATGCTTTTGAGCCGTCCAATGGTGAGCGTTCAGAACGTGGAAGCTCTGTTCATGAGGTTTTTTTTGGCTATTGGAATACCGTGTTTGGTGTTCACAAAGATTTTGGAATCATTTCATTCTAATCCCTTAAAAGTTATTGAGTGTGTTTCTCCATTTTGATTGTCTTGAACGGTTGATCGAATCGATTTAATTAATGCTATTTCGTGCTATTTCTAATCCTCATGATGAAGACTCCTCTCATGAAACGTTCAAAAATTCAAGTCAGATGACCGAAAAAAGTTCAATATATTTACAACAAACAACTAATTTGTTACAACAACAGAATGAGCTCATGATCATCATGTTCTTCACGAACCACATGATAATGACCAGAATTATTGACTCAACGGATTATTCTTACCACTACTCATTCATATAGACCACCTCCACACATTTGGCAGCTTTCGAAGACCCCCAATAAACCACCACCAAATCGCTCTTCAAGTAATCCTTCGTTCCGAGTTGAATTTTTTGTTGTCCAAAACGTTGTACCAAACGATGAGTTCCTTCTTGAGTGAGTCCATGACGATTCCATGAATCCGGAGCATAAAACAACGATTTCAAACATGCCAATAAACGTTCTGGATTGATCTCTTGAGTTTTCTCATCAATATCACCTTCCTTGATCAGTTCACGAATAATTCGGTTGAAGTTTACTTCAGCTGCAAAGTTTTGATCAACGACAACTTCGGTTGTTTCAGAGTTGGGAAAGACCATTTTGTGAATGTTGTTGTTATGGAATTGGTTGTGTTGGAGAATAAAACAGTTTCAACAATGGAGATAGGAACCAATTGATTAGAAGATGAAGCAGTTCGGGGATCAATTTCGCCTACGTTTGAAACAATTTAATATTGTTATTTGAATACAAGTTTTTTTGTTATTGTAAGCAACACGAGGGTTTGAAACTTAATCTGATTTATCAGATTTTCAAGAAAGGTTCACAATGCTGGAAAAGGTCTCAAGTTGATGAGGCATTGTGGTCCAAATTGAGATTATTGCAAATGGATCTTATTAATAATGCTTTAATGAACCCAGATGGGCTGGGTTTGTCAGGGTTGACGTTTATTGAGTAGTGGAGATCTGAAGAAATTTGCTTGATTCACAACTTTAATGGTAAATTAAGGGAGTGGTGATTGTCATTTATACTCCCATCGATGTCTCTGTCTTTCCAAATGACCTATAAAGCATTTCAAATGATGTATATCAGTGAACAAGTTGACAAGATATTGTGTGATGACATTCAATTTATTTACATTTCTTTATGTACATGTATTTACAAATTCTTTACTTTTTCTCTTTATTGGATTGCATTTTTTGTTCCAGCCTTTCATGGGGCTGTATTTGGTCTGGATCGTTATTGTTGTTGTTCTTGCTGCTACTTTCTGCAACAGTCACAATGGTCAGGTCATAAAATTTGAACATTTCTTTTTGAAAGTTAAAGATTTTCAAGTGTGAATGATATTTATAGTGTTCGCCAAGATGGGAAGTCTGCGCTAAAAATATTTTGGGATTTCTCGCCACGCAAATTTCGATTATATCTTTAAACATAAATTCTTGTGAAAAGATCCATTGTTGTCATGCCATTACTTGCATGATTTCTACTAGTCACAACTTTAAAAAAGAGACTCCTTATCTATTTGAGCTTTTTCTTTTTTGAGTATTCCTTAAAGTGATTCATGGTTCCAAACATCATGTCCATAAATCCATACCAAGATCCATATGCATCTTGATAGTGACTATGATGATATGCGTGTTCATTCGTTCCAAATTGCAAATAGCCAAACAATTTGAAATCAAAACCAGAGTGTACATAACTGGTTTCTAACAACTTGTAGGCAATCCACACCAAATACCAAATCAAATGAGTTCTCATCAAGAAGGGTCCCAACAACACTGGAACGATATTTCCAAACAAAAATTCCAATGGATGAGCGTACTCACAACCCACACTCACGGTATATCTCAATTCATGATGAAAATAATGAATATGTTTGTAAAGGAAGGAAACTTTGTGAAAGGCATAATGCAAGATAAAAAACAACACCTCGTCACAAATAATGAAAACTAGAAAATGAAACAAGACACTGAAAAGAGAGGTTGATGCTAAGGATTCATAACTTCTGTCAAACACTGGTTCAGCAACAAGTGACATGATAACACTCAATGGAAGGGCCACCAGAAAATGTAATTTCGTAACATGCCATAAAATTCTTGAAAAGAATTCAGAATCAATGGGAGCATGATCTGGATTGATGAGATAATGATCTAAAAAGGAAACATATTTTTGAATCAAACTATTTGCAAAAAACGACGTGCCCTTGGGAGAGGAGTTCTCTTTTTCAACTTCGGAAGAATCTGTCAATGGTGACGAGGTTGCTGAGGATTGATGTTGTTGTCTTGATTTTTGTTGTTGTTCCACCTTTCCATATTGATACACAATAAACGGCAAATTGATCAACCAATACGAAAGTAATTGAACGACAAAGGGATAGACTCCGAAGGCCACTACTTCAGGAACCTCCTCAAAATACTGTTTCCAAAACTTTTCAAATAAAGTTGGAGATGATGATGCTGCTGAATTCATCATATGTTTGTAATTACACTAAAAAGAATCAATCTATGATAATTCTTGTTGTTGAATGATCAAAAAAGAGTCTCTCAAGTGTTAAATTGTTGTTATTTTGTTTCCCGAGAGCAGGTATTGAAATGCAACTGAGCACAGTGTACGGAGAAACGATCCGTTTGTAAAATTTTTTATAAAATTGGAATTTTTCATTCTCTCATCCTGTTTTGCTTTTTTGATCGGAGAGTGAGAGCGGCATCCTCTCCGCTGCTGTCATTACATATGATTCAAATCCAAACGAATTCAAAGTTGGTTTTAACAAGGACCTCCAAGGAAAATTCTGGAGAAGAAATTCATTTGTTCTTATATCTGAATAAAAGGAGAATTTATTGTCACTCGAATTGACTCGAACTGTGCACCTGAGAGAGGTTTTGCCTTTGAGTTGTAGGGGTGAGATTTAAAATGTCAAAACTACCCTCTCATTCCTTGAGGTGAGTTCTAAGGGGAATTGGACGAGCATTAACCTCTGACTTGCCTCCGTTTTCAGAGACACTATTTTCTGGTGGTGGTGGAGATGGTGACGATGATTGTGGTGGTACTTGATCTGTTTCATCACCACTATAGTTGTTCTCTTCCTCTTCGGTTCTAACTAATTCATCATCTTCATTGTCAGAGCAGTTCGCATGTGGAGTAGGTGGTCGGCCGTGTTGAGTCGACATCATACTCGCTGAATGCAACAAATTACCTGTAAAGGACGAAGAGGCCGTCACAGCAGCATTAATATTTGCACAAAAGGAGGCACCTGTTGGAAATGCTTTCTTCACTTGTGATGAATCGGAAACAAGAGCGTGTGTGGATTTGCCGAGTCTCATCGTTTCGATGGTTGTGGAAGACGAGGAAGAACCAGTACTCGCAATGCTATTCTTTCTTTCCAGTAATGCTGTTTGGATAGGTTGCAGCTTTATAGAAGTTGGCCGTTCCGTTGGATTCGAAGCACGGTCCTCATGTTCGTTTTGTTCTGATAATGATCTCAATATTTCAGCTGTGAGATGGACCTTTTTCTCTGAGGAGGGGCTGCTGGGTGATCCAAGAGTGGAGGAAGTGGTCGTTGCTGCCGCAGTGTTCTTGAGAAGTAGCTCTCTAATTTCATTGCTTGTTCCTCGCAGGGAGGTGGCGCGACCTCGTTGAACTTTTCTGAAACTGTTGCTTCCGCCAGTGTCACTTGTGGTCTCTTCTCTCGAGTCGACGCTATTTGTGTCTTTGGCTCCTCCTTGTTTATCAGCGAGAGATGAGGTTGAGCCAGATCGAATAATACCAACCAATGGGCTCATTACTGGTTGTTGAGAAAGTGGAGGAGTTGCTCTCTTGATATTGTTACCATTTTCTTCTTCGTCTGAGGTAAAGTTCTTTTCAGATAAATCATCATCTGATGGTGAAATGCTATTCACTGCAATGTGTTGTCTTAAATGATTTGATGCCTCCAATGCTGGTGCCTCTGGTGACGTATTCTGATAATATTTTTCATCAAGCAAATACGTAACGAGCTCTCCTTTTCCTTTGGCGAAAACACTTGACTTTTCAAATCGATATTTTCCTCGCAATCTCTTGTAGAGAGCAGTTGTTACTTGAATGCGACCTGGCTTGCCAGTAGATTCCATTCTGCTTGATGTATTGACAGCATCACCCCATACCTGTGACATAAATTTAAGAAATGATTATGGTTAAACAATACAAAATAATGTCATTACACTAATCATCAACTTACATCATAGGCAAACTTTAAGGTTCCAATAACACCCGAAACTAAGGCTCCACAGTGCATTCCCACTCGTAAATTGAATGTTTGATGATGATCCACATTATAATTATAGACTACACTGAACATTTCCATAGCAAATTTCAAAACCCGTTCTTCATGATTGTCACCTTCATCAGCTCTCACTTTCAATCCACCAGCACAAAAATATTTTTCTCCTGTTGTCACAGAAAAAGTTGATGTGGTTGCACCATCACAAAAAAGCCAGTATAAAAATTATCAATCTTACAACTCGAAGTAAGAGGTAACATACCGATTGTCTTAATTTTTTCAAGCTGATATTTTGGAATTAAAGAATCAAAACCATTAATAATAATGTTCAAGGTTTGCACGAGTTCAGTTGCAGACATGGATGCTGAAATCTCCACAAAGCCAACCAAGTCACTAAACAAACAAGTAACATCCTCATGATTATCGGCAATAAATGTCTCCCCATTGCTCAACCTATGAGCGATGGTCTCTGGTAAAATATTCAACAATAATGACTCACTCTTCTTTTTCTCTTCGGCTAACATTTGATCATGCTCTCGATCGGTGGTCAGATCTGTCATAAAGCATGAAATAATATTTCTTCCATCAATGCTCGTGACTGATATTCTAATTTGAATAGGAAAGAGAGTTCTATTTTTTCTCTGGCCTTGTAGAACAAGATTTTCACCGTACGTCTTGGCTGAAATACTCATGTTGTTAATAACATTTTCCAAGGCGTTTCTACTCTCGGGACAAAATAAGCTTGTTACAGAGACACCTATCACTTCATCAATTCTGTAGCCAAACATCTTTTGAGCAGATTCATTGAAAATGTCAATAGAGCCGTTCGAGGAGCAGATTGCAGCACCAGCAACAGCAGCTTCGAGAATAGCCTTCTCATACGAATCCTGTTGATTATTCTTTTCCAAGTTTTTCATATGACTATTGAGAGAATTGTACAATATAAAGCTTCTCAAGTCGTTGTCTGTGTCCAAAATTTCGGCTGGTAAATGATTGAGCATCAGTCTAAGCTGATGATTTTCAGAGTAAAACTTGTTAATAGCACTGTAAAGCAAATAAATGATGAGCAAAAGCAAGATGCATGCAATTGCAGCAGACACCGCGCCCATTACCTTTGCCTGACCTGTGAATGATTTGACCAACAACTCAATGATGGATGTAACATCTGTAAGAATCTTATTGCCATAAATGTACATGGAATCAATTTCATTCAATAAAACATCCCTTGAAAAAGTATTCCTATAAATATCCTCTCTTGCCTTGCTGATTTGAACATGATATTCTTTAACGACATCATCCAGACCCATACAATTTAAGGAGTGTGTCGCTGAGGAAGTACAGTTAGGAGCAGACTTTGTGAGTATGCCTGTAATGGATGTGGAAAGTGAGCCTAGAGAGTAGAATGAGTCATCACTAGTGCCATATCTAAGAGCATTCCAATCCTCTGAAAATTCGGTTAGGTGATCTCCAATCTCAGAGTAAAATTGATATCGATCAATTCCAATAATGTCATAATCAGGTTGAATTAACTCCTGAGTTTTGAATTGCATACGTTGGGTGATCATTAAAATCTTGGCTGAGTAATTAAGCTTTCTCATTATCAATATTGAATTGCTTAATTGAGAGAGACCTTCATACATGATGAGAATGGCAGCAATAGTGGTGAAAATGAGAATCAGTGTTACCCAAAAAACCATCAATCTTATTGGAGTTATCACATACGTCTTTTGAGATACCACAGAGTTATCAGTGCTGGCCTCAAGATGATGAGCAATCTTATTAACTTCAATTTTTGGAATTTTTTTGAATAGATCAGAGACGAATTTTCGTTGTCTAACGTGATACCAAATGAATACTAGATATATGGAAACATAGACAACAAAAAACCCAGTTAAAGTGGAAAACACCACAATGGAAATTAGATTTTCATGCTCTTGAGTTTTTAGTTCATCAGAAATAACCTGATCATAAAAACTCTCCATCGCATGTGTGAATGTTATACGGTTCACATAGAGCATTGAAAAATAAAAATTCTTGTAGGTCTCGTTGTAAGAAGAGATGTTAAACGCAGTAATTTCGGTAATTACAGAAGCCAAAGTATTGAGAATCATGGATGCAGATGCATTTTTGGAATAGAATTCTAGACCAGTGACATTTTCAAGTTTTGTGATAGCGACCTGTCACAAATAGTGTGAACAATCAAATGCAATTGAAAATTATACTTACATTATATGTCTTATCGACATCCGTAAATCTATTTTTCATGGAGAACGTGAACATGTTTCCACGAGCAGTATTAACGAATTGATCAATATCCTTCGTAAACTGTGTCACTTGAGCTTTGTGAGCGTAATATGTATCGTTATTCACCGTTCCCGTTGTTGCTAAAGCTAAATTAATACGCCTTACATCACCCAACGTTGTGTATGGGATTGGAGCAATCAGGCATATATCCTTGATCACTTGTAGGACATCGTTAACTCTTCCATTGAAAGACCAATCAAGGGCAAAAATAACGCTCATGTACACAATTGAAATTACTCCCAATGAAAGTAGGAAAATGATGACAAAGCCATTTCTCTCGAACTTGTTAATGGATGCTCGGTATTGCTCCTGCAATTTGGAATCTGTATCGTTCTCTCCATGGTGTTGACTTGCAGATTCTAAATGAGCTAATTCTTCTTCATTCATTGACTTGAATGAATGTTCAAATGGTTCTTCTTTGGATATGCTTGGAGCAAGAACATTCCTTGGAGGGGCTTTTGCTTTGACTTTATCCTTGCTCTTCTCAGCTTCTTCCTCCTCCAAAATATTTGCTTCGTTGTACAACTCGTCCGCAATAACTGGCTCAAATAAAAACTCCTCCAAAAAGCTTGCATAAGCTCGCAGAACAGTCTTATTTTCACGGTGATTGAACATCAAGTTTTTGAATATTTGTTCACACTCTCTAGTGATTTCTTCCATTTGCATAACTGTGTTGATGATGTCTTGTCCTGAAGATACATGCTTCCAAAATCGAACTTGTAAATGTCTCAACAGGTTCGAGCTTTTTAAAATTCCATCCAAAATGTGATCTATTTCAAAATTATTTCTTCCTGTTGATGTAACTCTTTCAATTTCTCTATATCTTAAGAAAATATTAAATCTTGTGATAAAGTTGTTGTTTTGTCGTTCCGCTTTCTTAAAAAGCATTAGTACGAATGTTGTCGACTGATTTTCAAGAACATATTTCATGAATAGAGCTGTTGTAATTACAGTCTCTGTAGGCACAGGATCCTTGTAGTTCACAAGGAGACGTACGAAGGAGTTGCAAGTGGCTTGGTCCTTATCATTGGATTTCATTGAAAATTTAACAAATCTTCCCACATAAAAGAAGTCCTTCTCAGAAATGTCACCTAAATTGCGTGACTCCATTACACCCTCAATTAATTTTTGACCTTTCTTTTTGAGAATACGCGTGTAAATATCCACTCCGACAAAACCTATTGTAAAACCTAAAATGAGTCCTCCAATGGGACCAAAAGTTAGTCCGAGTCCAACATCCCAAGCATTAGAATTGTTGACAAGAGTGGCGATCAATGATCCGATACCGATACCAACTTGTCCAATAAATAATCCTCCATAGAAAGAGTTAATATATCTATACAAAAAAGGCATTTGCCATATAAGTATTAAGAAGCAGCAAAAAGAAGTTACCATGTAATAGATTGGCCTTAGATAGTAATACATATCTGGAGTGACTTGAGAGGCTAGCAGAAAAATCTGATTGAGACCTTGAATTGAGGCATTCAGAATCATGGTGTCCACTGCAAATAATGACGTGCTAGAAATACTGGTATTTGAGAAAACGAGCATTGCGAAAGAGGTCATTAGAATTTGCAATACAATGAAAATGACCGATACGGCTGCCATGGCTCCATTCATCGCTGACCAGCACGCTATTGAGGGGATATTTTTTAGGACATACATGGTCTCTTCTCCTCGTGTGACCGTATGGGAGTAGTCGCATCTCCAAAAGGAAGCCATCACATACATGGATGGCAAACTAATGATGCAAACGATAGCAAGAGAAACCCGTGCACTTGCCTTAATTTTTTCCCAGTACTTGTTTCCATTGATGAAGGATCTATAGGTGAGATAGAGAGTGAATAATGCAAATGCGTCCAAAACAAAAGCGGCTATCGCAATTCCAAATAATGCATCATACGGAAGAAATTGGAACCCAAACGTTCTTGGTGTGACAATGGCATGGTAGAAGTATCTTCCATATTCTCCCCAATTAAAATCAATAGAGACTCCTAAAGATAACGCTTGCCATATGAATATCAATTGAATGAAAAAATACAACGCTCTATTCATAGGCTTTTCCAATTTTAAGGAATTTACGAACAGGAACAAATTTGATTCAACAGCATAGAAGGCTCCCTTTTTTGCTCTGTCGCTCCCGGTTGATGTTTTTGAGACTGTACTTTTTGGTTTATGACGCTCAAAGTTGCTCAATCTCCGCATCGTGTTGTTGTTTATGTTGTGCTGTGCCGTGGAGGCTCCCCCAATTGTGCTTTGCATTTCAAAATTGCTTGTTGCTATGGATGGTCTTTGCTGTGCGAGGAGAAAGTATTGCTGAGTTTGTATTGATTGTGGTTGTTGTTGTTGTTGTTGCAATGCTGATGATTGATTACCGTCCAGGTTCGAACCTGATGCTCTCTTATTTGCGAGCTGATTGTTGTTAGAAATAAACTCTGAGGTTCTTTTAGTGTAGGATGCAACCGATGCTTTTCTGCTTTCAAATCTTTTTGGTAGACTTGAAAAACCCGCCTGCCATTCATTTGAGTTTCGCATGGATTTATAAAGCGTTGTTGTATTGATGATGTGTTATGCAAGTATCTCTTCAGAAAGAGATAGATGTCCTGATGTGCGTGTAACAAGCTCGCGTGTTGTCAAGCAGCTTTCAGAAAGAGATAAGGCTTCTCTCGGAAAATGTTCCGTATTGTTTCTGAGTGGAAGAGATGTTTAAAAAGTCGTTTCCGCTTTGACGTGTCCTGTGTTTGATAATGTGATGAATATTGTGGGAGAATGATGATGTTCCCTTTATATATCTCTTGTGTTGAATCAAAGAGGATGAATTTTCAATGTATATTTGTATAACTATTGAAGCAAAAGAAGAATTTTGCAGCAGAGAGTAAAAGCCTTCAAGAATAGACGCTGGCTGGGAAAAAGTGTGGGGAATTGAGGCTCTGGCGAGGTGTAACCTACAAAGAAGGCAATAGGTGTTTTTTTTCGGTTGGTGGTGTGAGTTCGTAGTGGTTGGCGGGTGAACTTTTAATTGTGTGTGTGGAATCAATGTCAACAAATGATCGACAATTATTGTGTTGATCTCGTGTCTTCCGATAGGTATAATATCATCAACATAACGATGCCGTACGCTTGAGAACATTAATTCCATTTTTTTGTTGCTTTTGAAATGTAATGATATATATATAATTTTCATGTGTGTTTGCAACAACAGTATTCCACGAGGTGTGAAATCATGTTTCATCTAATGATGATTCAGGGCCTCAATGATTGAGTCGAGAGAAACCGTCATCATCCTTTCAAAGATATTACATTTCGGTGCAGTCTGCTGAGCAACACATCAAATCAGGTCGGGAAACAAAAACTAAAAATATCCTTCTTTCAATTTTTCAAAAACACAAAAAAAATTAAAAGTCGATCCTTGAGTGTTGTGGTCTTTATTGGAAACATTAAGCTCATCATTGTTGTTGTTGTATCGACTCGACCCGATCCGTATATTGGAAAACACATCATCATATTGGAAAACAATAGTAATAGAAGAATACATCATGTCCAAAGACCAATCCAACACAACATCATCAGCCTCCTCCACAAAAGATCAAAAGAAGAAGGATGAAATTGTATTGGCTGCTCCTCAATTATCGGAAGAAGACCAACGATTGAAGGACGATCTTGAAGAATTGGTTGGCAAAATTTGTAATTCCACCTCATCGGTACAACGTGCAAGTTTAGAGTCCCTCAAGGATGAACTCAAAAAGAGTTTGACTTCTGCTGTTACAACCATTCCCAAACCACTCAAATTCCTTCGAGTACATTATACTGCTCTGAAGGAAGCTTACGAAAGAAATACACCCAGAGAAAACAAAATTCTCTTTGCGAACATTCTCTCCGTGTTGGGAATGAGTTTGGCCAATGAAGGAGAACGTGATTGCTTGAAATACATGTTGGAGGGTGATGATGAAGAATTTGATAAATGGGGCCATGAATATGTCAGATCTCTTGCTGGAGAAATTGGTCAAGAATATCAAGCAAGACTCTCTGAGAAGATCCAAATGCAACAACGAATTATCAAAGAAACAGGAGATGACAGTATGGTCATTGACACTGAATTCAAGCCAGAAGAGATTATGGATATTCTCACATTGGTCAACAAAATTGTTCCATATTTCATGAAGTCTGCATCGGAGCCTGAAGCTTGTGACTTGTTGATTGAGACTGAAAAGTTGTCCAAGATTGTGGATTATTGTGACGAGACCAACTATGCTCGTGTGTGTCTCTATTTATCAAGTGTTTCCAAGTATTTTATTGAACCAGAAAACACAGATACCCTGAAAATTGTGTACAGTATTTATGAAAAGCTTAAAAAATACCCAGATGCTCTTCGAATTGCAATGCAATTGAATGATCCTGAATTGATCAAGGCAACCTTCTTTACATGTGAAGATCCACTCATGAGGAAACAACTTGCATTCATGCTCAGTAGAGGAAACTATAAATTCTCCATCAGTGAAGGAAAGCCTAGCGATGAAAAACACAAATATATTGACATTGATGATAACGAAGCACTTGAATTGGAGGACATTATGGGTAATAGCAAGTTGAGTGAATACTTTTTATATTTGGCCAAACAATTGGATTCACTCGAACCAAAAACTCCCGAAGATATTTACAAGTCACACCTCACAGAGACAAGATCCACCTTGACACAAAACGTCGAATCGGCTCGTCAAAATCTTGCCACCTCTTTTGTCAATGCATTCGCCAATGCAGCATTCAGCTCTGACAAGTTGATGAAGTCAGAGGAAAATTGGATTTACAAGAATAAGGATCTCGGCATGCTCAGCGCTGTGGCCTCTTTGGGTATGATTTATTTGTGGAATCACGTTGAAGGTTTGAACGAAGTGAATAATTATGTCGACAACAATGATAACAACATTAAGGCAGGAGCATTGTTGGCAGCAGGTATCATGAATGCAGGTCTAAGAGTGCAAGACGATGCTGCCTATTGTCTCGCTCAAAGTTACCTTGAAGGAGCCTCTCGAGAAGTACGAATGGCCACCATTTTAGGACTTGGAATTGCCTATGCTGGTAGTGGTCATAATGATGTGTTTGAATTGTTAATGCCCATTCTTGCTGATGCTGAACAACCACTGGAGGTTGTTGCGTTCACTGCCTTGAGTTTGGGCATGATCTTTGTTGGAACATTGAATGAGGATGTGACCAATTGCATCATTCAAGTCTATTTGGAGAGAAGTGAAAAGGATCTCACTCATCCATTGGCCAAATTCCTCGCATTGGGACTAGGTCTCTTGGGTTTGGGACAACAGGAAGCTGTCGAAACCGTGTGTACCACCATGATGACTGTTTGCAGTAACACCAAGTTGGCACGATTTGCCACTCTTACCATTGAAGTTTGTGCCTACTGTGGAACAGGTAACGTTTTAAAGATTCAACAATTGCTCAAGATTTGTGGAGAACATCCTGAAAAGCCTTCAAAGAAGGAAGGTGAGGGAGCAACTGCAAGTACTGGAGGAGCCACAGCAAAGAGTGGCTCTCAAACCAGCAGCAGCAGTAGTAGTGGAGGAGGAGGATCATCATCTTCACAACCAGCCTCTCAAGAAAAGAAGGAAGAAAAGACTGAAGATGCTCTCATGAATTCTTATTACGGAGTTGCTGCTTTGGGTATCTCTATTATTAGCATGGGAGAGGATTTGGGAGCTGAAATGGCTGTGAGATCTTTTGGCCACTTGCTTCAATATTCGGAGATTGCAGTGAAAAGAGCAGTTCCTCTTGGATTGGGCTTGCTGAGTGTCTCAAATCCACAAATGTCTATCATGGACACTCTCAGCAAATTGTCACACGATAACGACGTTGAATTGTCACAAAATGCCATCTTTGCTTTAGGTTTAATTGGCGCAGGAACTAATAATGCTCGTATTGCTCAATTACTCAGACAATTATCGTCTTACTATGCCAAGGAACAAAATCACTTGTTTGTGGTACGAATTGCTCAAGGTTTACTTTCAGCTGGTAAGGGTCTCGTGACCATGAATCCCTTCTATTCTGATCGTTCCATTTTGTCCAGATCTCAATTGTGTGGCTTACTTGCATTATGTTTCACTGCTCTCGACATGAAGAGTACTGTCTTGAGCAATTATCACTATCTTTTATATACAGCTGCAACAGCCATGTATCCAAGAATGCTCATTTTGGTTGATGAGAATTTGGAACCTGTTCCTGCAAACGTTCGTGTGGGTCAAGCTGTTGATGTGGTCGCTCAAGCTGGTAAGCCAAGAACGATCACTGGATTCCAAACTCACAAATCACCAGTTGTTTTGCAATACGAAGAAAGAGCTGAACTTGCTTCCGAGGAATATATACCATTAAGCTCTACAATGGATCATGTCATTCTTGTAAAGAAGAATCCTGAATATGAGGAAGAAATTTCAGACAAGATGGAAAAGTAAAAAGAAGAACAGGAGATTGACCATAGATTTTTTTCGAATAAATTAAATCCCTAATATGTAAGAATTAAGGTTTTTTTATTGTCCAAAGTTGACAAATCCAAGACTTTGGCGAAACATCGTGCTGCTGACAAGAAGATAATTTAAACTTTTAGTCAAATATTTGAGAAATTTAATCTAACAATGCTCAATTATAACTTGTACTGACAAACAACAGTCTTATACTTGTAAATAGAAGGTGAGTCATCCCATTGACCGGAGCTACTTCCAATAGACACAACATTCAAGTCGTTATAATTGGTTGGTGAGTTGTTGTTTGGATTTCCGACCTTCCAATCCGTGTAGGACAAAGAAGTACCATCGACCCATTTCCAGCCTTGGGTATAACTATAGAATAAACCAATAAAGAAATCAAAACCGCCAGCAATGTTCATCACTTCAGTCTTCTCAGCTGCTGATTTGATTGTGACAGGAGTTGCATTTGGATTCCATTTTTTACAAACAGCAACACCTTGATCATAATTAAGGAAATCAGTAAATTGTGTACGTAAGAGACATCTTGTGGAGGTACATGAAGTGACACGTTTGGTGACATCTTCTGCAGCTGGTGGGAAGTAGGTGCACGAGGAGGAACTTGGACCTTGAATTTGAGAGACGGCATACGTCGAGGCACCAACAACAGTGAAATTCACATTTGTGGCTGCAATATTTCCACACACACTCACTGAGAAGGATGTTGTTGAACCTTTTGGAACAATATTTGAATTTGGCAAAGACTCCCAAATAAAACCTGACAATCCAGAAATAATATCTTTTCCTAAATAAACTGGGAATGATGGCGAATAGGAATTGTAAGAGAAGGAATCGATAGTATTAGCAATGGCAAATCGTGTGACAGCTCCCATGTATGAAGTAGAAGGAACAGTGATGGAATAGGTGAATGTTGTTGAGAAATAATCAACATCAAAAACTCTTCTTGTAGCGACACTTCTGGATGTTGTAATGGTGTAATCAAAATCACTAATAGGTCGCTTTAGATAGGTGGCAGATGTTGGAATGGTATTACAAGCTTCATCAATGACTTTGCCGTAAATATTCGTCAAATCATTCCAATCGACGAGGAAGAACTTCAATGGATCATAATTCATCTTTTGAATTTGCATCATACCAAAACTAGAAGTGACACCAACACCAATACCGATGGCTAATTGTCTGTAATTCCATGACTTGCTAGGTTCAGGATTGTTTGGATTTCCTGGCTTCCATGAGTTAATTTCAGAGGAACGAACTGTGGCTTCAGCACATGGTTGACACTTGGAGGTTGCATTTTGCCAGTCACAACTATGGAATTAAAAACGCAACAATTTAAAATTAGAAAAAAACACCGTTCAAAAAGAAATACTTACGCATTGCAATCCATGGCTGGGAATCTTGGAGAAACACAAGTAGCACTTTCTTGAGCACATTCCGAGCAGTCACATGGGAAATTGGATTCACCGTCAGTGATGTGAATGAACAACTTGTCAGTGACAGAAGGTCTACCAGCACTCACCATGTCGGCAATACCTGTGTTGATACCTCTCATTGTGGCAGTTGAAGATCTGAGTTGAGCAATCGAGTTCATTGTATTGGTGACAATTGCCTTTGATGTTCCTGAAGCGACTGACAAGTGAAGGGACGAAGTGTAAGAATATTGAACAATACCAATTCTTGTGGCGTCAGGTCCTACATTAAATCCAGAAGTAATATTGTTCACAAAATATCTCATATTCCTCCAGTTGGTATCTGAAATAGATCCAGAACCATCCAAAACAAAGATAAGATCAAAGACCTTACTACAAACACAATCTGTATACTTGATGGTAATGTCTGCTGTGGCAGTTGTTCCGTCTTGGAGTGATCGGATTCTGTATTGAATCTTTTCAGCTTCACATGAACCAATTCTTGGAGAGACACGAATAATTCTGCTGTTGGGTGAGTCGAGAGGATTCAAAATGACAGGTACTCCATTCTTGCAGTAGGTGGAATCTGGACAATAAATATTCAAAAATTCAAAGGTACCTCCGAGTGGATCATAGTCATTCAATAACAATGAGGATGCAGCCACGTCAATCAGAGTGTTATATTTGGTTGAGAACTCATCATTGACTGCAATTGGAGGAGAGCTGATTGCCTTAATTCCAACGGTGACACTCACAGAGGAAGGAGCAGATAAATCATTGTCAGTCACTGAAAGTGTAAGTGTACATCGTTGATCAAAAAAGGTATTGGCTCTTGTGAAGGAAATCTTATTGTTCACAATGGACAAGCTCGTACTAGCACTGGCACAAGTTCCAGGATCTGTAATTGAAATAGCTAAAGAATCTTGAGTGTCTGGATCTTGAGCACCAGTGTCTTTGATGTAATCAAACGTTCGTACATCGTTTCCATCTCTTCTGATCGAAAATTCATATTCCCAATTGGAGGCCACTGGTGTCTTGTTAGGTTGATTCACAAAGAGTTTACAAGTAGCAGTTTGACTGGCTTGATTTCTAACGACAAAGGAAGCATAACAAGCATTTCCTGAACATGATCTTCTTGCATTTGGAGTGTAAGTCAATTTACCATTCACAGTCGTAATGGTACCAACAGAATTCAAAGTAGCAGTATTGCTGATGGAAATGGTAATTGGTTCAGAGCCAAATTGAGCTGCCCAATCAGCCTTGAGGGAATCTTCGAATTGTGTTGAGGCACTGTCCTTTGTTGTGGTGATGGTATAATCCATGCAAGTGAATGAATTGACAATGGTGATCGTGTAAGTATAAGTGGTTGACAGTTGACCATCACTAATGGAGAAGTAGAATTTTTGAGTTCCAACAAATTGTTGACCATAGGTGAATTTAACATTTCCAGAGTCAATCATGACTGAAGAAGAGCTGTCAGATCCTGAATACATTTGAACGGATGAAATAGTGAGCGAGTCTGAATCAGCATCGGATGCTCCTGTCAATAAAGTACTGAATGGAATTAAAACCACTGGATTCGAGTATTGTCTATTGAAATTTCCACTCTTGTCTGAACCTTGTGGTGGTGTATTCCAAATGGTGACAGAGATAGTTCCTGATTTCTCAGCTAATCCATCTGTGCATTTGAATGTGACTGTGTCATAAGCTTCCCATCGTGATCCGGAAGGTTTGTTGGTAAAAGTAATGGCAAGATTTGGAGTGTACGTAATTTTACCAACAGTTGCATCATTGACAACAGTATTTCCCAAAGTACCTTGAACAACTCCTGTGAAAGTAACTGTATCACCATCTGAATCAGAACATCTTGACAATAATGAATTCTCTACAAAGTTAGAATTCCACTTGACAACCTTACTAAAGCTTGTGACAACAGGTTCAGCATTTGTGAACACAATGGTGATTGAGGAGGTGGATGTGGCAGCTCCATCGGTGATTGTGTAACTGATGGTATCATTTCCAGTGGCACCACTTCCAGCATAATTGTAAGTAATGGAGGTCTTATCACTAGAAAGAGTCAAGGCAGCTCCTCGATTACGTGATACAGTATCGACGCTACTAATGGTGATTGGATCTGAATTGGCATCGACGTCATTTGTGAGTGGAGTCATGGTAAATGTCGTTTGTTTCCAAGACTTGATGAGAACATCTGGATTTGCGACAGGAGCTGTATTTGTGAGAGTGATTTGACAATCCTTCTCAACAGTGAGACTTCCATCGGATATTGTGAATTTAAAGGTGGCTGTCAATGGAGCAACACCAGCAGGTGGTGTGTAAATTAAATTTGTGAGAGAACCTGATTTTCTAACAATAGTTCCAGCTCCAGATTGTGGTTGAGTGTAAGCACTAATGGTCAACGTGTCACCATCTGCGTCTGCTGCACTTGATTCTGTAATCATGTTCAAATCCCATCCACTTTGAACACTTCTCCAATGAGAAGTCTTTGAAACGGCGTTCGCTGTTGGAGCTTGGTCGAGAATGTTAATCGTAATCGTCTTGGTCACTGTTTCAAATCCATCACTCACAGTGTAAGTGAAGGTCTTGGTTTGCAAATTTCCTTGTGGATTTTGATAGGTGAATGCACCAGAAGAATAACTCAAAGTACCAACTGCAGGACTTGTATAGGTGGAAACAGTGAGAAGATTTGAATCAGCAGCATCAGCATCTGTTGGTTTGAGAGCATCAGATCTTGTCAAAATAGGAATGTTAATCGATGAGGCAGCAGTGTGTTGAACATTAATAGTAATATCATATACGACTGGGACATTGTTGGTCACTGTCACTGGGAATGTGGAAGTCTTTGTTGCCCAACCATCTGTGACTAATACTGAGAAGGAATCACTTCCCTTCCAAGCTGAGGATAATTTGTAAGTCACTGTATTCACTGCTGACAAGTAAATATTTCCAAGACCGGCACTGGTGACTTGTGTAGTGTTGACAAAATCAGAGTCAGCATCAGAGTATCTGGTTGCCAAGTTGATTGTGTTACTTTGAAGTGCTTGTCTCCAATGATAACTAAAAGCAGCAGTATTAATCACTGGAGGGTTGTTAAGAATGGTAATGTCAATGGTTCCTGTAACAGTAGCACGTTGATCAGTAATGGTGAAAACAATTTGTGTGACAGAACCAGTGAATCCAATAGTTGGAACGAAACGAATTTGAGCAGAGGATCCACTTCCAACGGTGGACAAGGTACCTTGATCGCTCGTAATAGAAGAATAACCAACCAAAGAAAGAGCGTCACCATTGGCATCATTGGAATTTTGAACAACATTGAAAGTGAGTCCATTCTTTGCGACAGACCATGCAACACTTTGACTATAGGATTGAGTGGTTGGTTTGGTGTTTGTGACGTTCACAGAAACTGTTCCTTCAGAGGTTTGAACACCATCACTCAATTCATACTTGAACGTGTCAACAGAACCAACAGCTGCAGTTCTTGGATAATATCTAATCTTTCCACCAGTAATTGTTGGAGCAGTGGTTGCTGAAGATCCATAAACATTTGTAATGCTCAATGTATTGGAATCAGGATCATTGTCGTTGGCAAGAACATCAATATCCACAAATGCAACATTCCAGTGAGTCGTGAAGGAATCAGGATTTGCTACTGGCTTGTTGTTATAAATGTTCAAATTGACAGAAGAAGTAACATCTCCGTTAGCAGAATCATCCGTCACCACATACGAGAATGTGACAGGACCCAAATACTTCTCTCCTGTTACTCCCTTAACAACTGCAATATTGGAGTTTCCTGTCTTTGGTGAAATAGTTCCCCTTGAGATGGATCCAAAACTCTTCACACGGATTGGATCTCCATTTGGATCACTGTCAACTGGAGATAAAGTGAGTACACTCACATCCATTCCATTCACAAAGTCACTCCACAACACATTCATGCTCTTTGATCCAGATACTGGTGCAGAGTTGGTAACAACAACTGAAACAGGAATAGCAGATGAATATAATTTTCCATCATAAATCTTGTAACTGAAAGTAGCAGTACCAATGAAAGCACCAACGGTGGTCTCTGGTGTGTAGGTAATTGAACCAGAAGAAATACTACCGACACTACCCTTCGATGGAGTTGTTGCAGAAGTTGCAGTCAAGTATGGAAGATCAGCTGAATCTGCATCTGTAGCATTCAAAATCAAATTGATGGATACAGGAGTTCTCCAGTGTGTGGTGACGACCTTTGTGGTACCAGTTGGAGCATTATCATAAACGTTCACGGTGACTGTGATGAGAGAATAGGTCAATCCAAGTCTATATCTCACAATAAAGGTCTCAGTTCCAACAAAACCTTGAAGAGGAGAATAGGTAATTGTCGTTTGAGCATCGGTGATAGTTGCAGAGCCTCCTTGATTTGGAGCTTGTGAAATGCTGTCGATATTCAAAACGTCACCGTTGGAACTAATGTTTTGTAAGACTGGGAAAACGACAGGTGTGGCGTATGCTCTCCAATGTACATCGTAGACTTGATCGGATGGATTGGCAGTAGTACTTGTGATGTTCACACTGACCTTGTAAGTGATAGAAATGTCAAGGCCATCGGTTATGTTGTAATAGAAAAAGTCTTCACCGGCCACGAGATTCGTTGGTTTGTAGAGAACACTAGTACCATCTGAATTGATAGACACACAATTGCCATATCTATTTGAAGAAGAAACAGAATTGACCTTAAGGAATGCAATATCAGCCAAGTCACCATCGTTCGAGTATTGAATAAGGTTAATGGTGAGACCAGTACCAATCAATGACCAGTGATATTTGAGATTGATGTCCTGAGCAGTTGGAATTGCATTGGTCACAGTGGTGGTAATACTTGACGATGCAGTGGAGAAACCGTCACTCAATGAGTACGTACATGTCTGAATTCCTTTGAAAGGAATAGTCTTAATAAATTTGACGGATTGAACCGTTCCACTAGCACCCTCAATGGAATACGAGTTACCGTCATTCGTTGAACCCAAAGAAAGTGTAATAGCGTCACCATCAGCATCAGTGACTGCACTATATGGAGAATATGAAATGCCATTCAAAGCATCCCGCCAGTGAATCGTGTTGGACAAGGTAGGTGTTGAAGGTTGATGAGCATTGGTGATGGAAACTGAAACAAGGGCTGGATTGAGAGAATCTTTTGCTCCATCTGTGCAAATGTAGGTGAATGTCTTTGTGCCCAAGGTGAGAGTTGGAACCGTGGCTGGAGTGTATCGAATGACACCAAGAGTGTCAGATTGGAGAGAAACTGATCCTTGGGATGGTGTGGAAAGAGATCCAATCTTGATCTTTGGAGAATCTTCTGTGTCAGGATCAGAATCATTGCCCAAAACTGAGATATCCACATAAGAAGTATTCCAATGAATGCTAATGGAATCAGCAGAACAAACTGGCAATTGGTCTTGAACGGTAATGGTGACAGTCTTTGTGACACTTTGCAATCCATCGGTTAAGCTATAAGTGAAAGAATCTCCTCCGACATAGGCTGGAGTTGGCTTGTACAACAACTTGTCACTACCACTCAATTCGACAGTACCATGAGAAGGTGAGGAGAATGGAGTTGAGGCAAAAGTAATTGTATCTTGTGAGTCAGAGTCTGAAGCACCTGACATGACATTGATCAAAACACCAGTAGCATAACGAGACCAGTGGAGAGAGACTGGAAGATCCACAGCAGTTGGAGCGTTATTTTGAACAGTGACAGCATAAGTAGCGCTATTAGTTGCCCATCCATCCGTAAATTGCACAGTGAATGAGGTACTTCCTAACATGGAGACAGTTGGTGATGGCAGAGTCCACTTAATAAATTGCTTTCCAGCAACAATAATCGATGGAGTACCATGGACAGATGAAGGGCTGCTGACAGAGGTAATATTGACAGCATCACCATCAGCATCATTAAGACTAGCAAGAACATCAATGACCTCAGATCCCTTAGACCAATGAATAGTTGTTGGGAATACAGAAGCAACAGGTGCAACATTTTGAACAGTCACAGTCCATGTGGTGTTGGTTGTTTCAAAACCGTCGCTGATTCCAATGGTGTACACTGTAGTTCCTGTGAATGGAGCAACAGGAAGGAATGTAATTTGATTACCATTTTGTGTCACGTATTGAGAAGGAGTAATAGAAACTAGGGAGAGAGTATCCTCTGGATCGAGATCGGTTGCTTTGGTCAATTGGAGTGCATCGACAGTGAAGCCGGAAGAGAAGACGTTGAAGTGGCCAGAAGTTGAGGCTGCAGTCAAGACTGGAGCATGGTTGTAAACATTCATATTCACAGTATACACAGCACTGTCTGCTCCATCGGTAACTTTGACCTTAAATACATCATCGCCTTTGAAACCTGCTTGTTGCTTGTAAATCACATATGGCAAATTATTGGCATCACCATTTGACATGTTTAATGAACCAGATGCAGGAGATTGGACAGGTGAATTTGCAATGTCAATGCTCAACAAATCTCCATCAGCGTCACGAGCTTGGGAGAATAAGGTAATCTTTGTACCAACAGTTTGAGTGGACCAGTGGACACTCTTGGAAATGGTTGTATCGGATGGCTTGTTTGCATTGGTCACATTGAAACCAACATTAGCTGGAGCACTGACTCCTTGTCCGTCCGTAATGGTATAAGTAACGATTTGGTAGCCTTTCGATTGAGCAGTTGGTGAGAACAGTAATTTCGAATCACTTTCAGTCTTTACGCATGAACCATAGAATGGAGTTGGAAGATTGACATCCTTAATGTAGATTGGATCATTGTTGTCATCCTTATCATTGGAGAGAACAGGAATAGTCAATGAAGGAGTTGACCAATGCAAAGTGACAGCATCGTCTTGGGCAACTGGATTAGTATTGGTCACGGTGACCTTCAAGGTAGCACTGGCAGTTTTAGAGTAATCAGACACAACAAAGGTCATGGTTTCTTCACCAACAAATGCTTGTGATGCAGAAATTTGATATTTCAAAGCGTCAGAGCCATCACCGAGCTTGACAATAGAAACTGAGCCCTTTTGAGGTTGAGTGACGGATGCAATGTGGAGTGGGTCTGAATCAACATCGCTGGATGTGTCCAAAACTGGAACAATGACAGAAGAATCTCTCCAGTGAGTTGTGGCTGCAGCGTCACTAGTCGTTGGAGCATTGTTGATCATAGTGACAACAACAGTGGCAGCATTACTTTCGAGATCAGAGTCGGTAATGTTGTACTTGAAAGTATAGGTTCCGACAAATCCAGGTTCAGGAGTGAATAGGATGCTTTTACCACCATCGAATGACGAAGCAGTACCTCCAGAAACACTCACAGGTGTAATGGTCTTGACTAACAATTTGAATCTGTCAGCAGGATTCTGATCAAAGTCATTGGCCAATACAGGAATGACCACACTTCTATTCCATTTAGTGGTTGCAGAATCATCAAAAGCCATTGGAGCAGTGTTGACAACATTAACAGTCACAACAGCACTAGCAGTGGCTCCATCAACATCTCGAATCACGTAATTGAATTTATCTTGATAAACAGCATCTAAAGCAGGATAATCCAACATATTTCTTGGTTGAGAGGTTGTGTTCAATGATACAGAAACACCAGCAGGAGTGACAATAACTGCAGTGGTTGAATTGAAATCGACAGGATCTGAGTTTGGATCATAATCTCCCTGCAAAGCATCAAGAGTTGAGAGGACACCCTTTGGAACAGTGAAAGTCTTATCTAAAGCAACAGGAGGGGTATTCACAACTTGAACGTTTACATAACCAGTTGCCTTCAAAACTCCAACCGTTGAACCATCCGAGTTGGAATCAGTCACGACATAAGTAGCCACATCTTTACCCAAGAATCCTGGTTTGGCAGTATATTGCAACACGCTGTTGTTCACACGAGAGACAGTTGCATTGTTTTCACTCAACACCCAATCACTTGGATCAGTACTCAACAAAATGGTGTCACCATTAAGGTCATAATCATTTTCAACAACGTTCAAAGTGACTTGCTTGTTCTTTTCACATACAATGGTATCATTCACAGTGATTGGTGGTGTATTCACGACATTGAGAGTGAGAGTGGCAATCATGGAGTCGTATCCATCGTCGACCTTAATCTTGACCACATCTGCATAGACCATTCCACTTTGTGGTGTATATATTAAATTGTAAGTATTCAATCGAACATTCATCCATTGTTGTCCCAAATAATTCACTGGGTTAATAGAAGAAATCTGTTGCAATTGGAAGGTACCCTTTACAGGTTTTTGAACAATGGTCATTGTGACAATGTCCAAAATATCCTTCTCGTCATAACTCAATGGAATGTTATTGTTGGCAGAATTCTTTGGAATGGTAATGTTTTGGTCAGGTGAGAAGGGAGGAGTATTCTTCACACGAACAAAGACATAGGTAGAAGACATCTTACTTCCATCACTAATGGTGTACTCAAAACTGTCAATAAACACGTTGGTGTCAGCAGGAGGTATATATTGGGCCTTCAATCCATCATCAGAAAAAACAACAGTACCCTTTGAGCCGCTTCCTGACATGTTACCAAGAATGAAGATATGATCATTGTTAATGTCATAATCGTTGGAAAGTAAATTAAGGCTAGAAATCTTATTCTTAGGGACAGTGATATCATCTGGAGTTGCAACGGGTGGATCATTAATAACTTCTACAGTGATGGTCTGAGAGACAGTAGTGTTCTGATCAGTAATAGTATATTCGAAGGAATCAATATCATTGAATCCAGTTGGTGGAGTATAAGTTAAATAGAGAGAATCCACAATATTGACTTGGGAATTTTTCACAGTGGTGTTTCCAACTTTAACAATGGTCAAAATATCATCATCGATATCATTGATTTTGGCACCACTGTCACTAACGTAATTGAACAAGTCAATCACATTGTTCTTTGAATTCTTGGAAACTTTAACATGAATTGGGATTGCCTCAGGAGGTCTATTCAAGACTTCTATGGTTATAACGCTTGAAGCAAATGCATAGCCATTGTACACTGTGTACTCAAAGCTATCATTGCCTGAATAATACTTGTTGGAAATGTACTGAACTCGATTACCACCTATTAACTTGGCTGTACCGAACGATGGTTGGGTGATATTGACGAGAGTAAGGTTATTTGCTTTAGGATCCACATCATTTATAAGTGGATTAATGATGTAACTCACATGCTTGAAAGCTTGTAAATGATCTGGTGTCAATTTTGGTGGTTCGTAACCGGCACCAACGGTGACCATGATAATGGTAGCGACCACAGAGACTACAACGAGTCCGGACACGATACCACCAACGATGGTTTGGGTGATGGTTCCTCCTTTCTGAGAATGGTGTGCACAAAGAGAGCATGCATGAGGTATTGATGGAGAAGCGAAGGACAATTCAGAGAGGGAACCAACAATGACAATTCAGGTACACATGCCAATTTCATATAAAAGTCAGTCATCATCATGTCAGCATGGGAGTTTTGGCCAAATTTGTCATCAACACGACAACATTTTTTGTTCCAGACGGTGGTGTCATCGCACACAAACAACCATTCGTTATCAAACGACCATGAGAAAGGCAAATGAAGGAGCGAACGAGTGTCGTCATAACGTTTCAGCAAGACCAAAGTTCAAATGAATGTCATGTCGTCGTGGTCAATATTACCAATATTGACAAGAGCAATCATTAAAAACTTCATCAGAGATTTCCCTTTTCAACAACTTACCAATAGGGAAATGTTCAAACCAACTACTTTACGTGCAGCGGTGGTGCTGCCCAAAGTAATTTGTTCTGGCATTGGAAAGTGCGTGAGCTAGAGATTGAAAAACAATACTACTGTATAATTCTATGGTGGTGTGCCAAATTTCGTTATTGGTTGTCTCGCTTGTTTTTTTGATGTTTTTCCTGATGGTGACTTGAAGCGAATTTTGGTTGCTGAAGTTTTGAACAAGTCTTGGTTTGGTCAACAACAAGTCAAAAGCTGACGAGAGATGACAAGTTGATCAGTAAGTAGTAGTGTGCTGACTCGGCCTTTTCTCGGTTATCAAAATGAAATTTCAATCTCTCAAATTTGATGTCCAAATTGGTTAGTAAAAATGGTCGGGTTGTCCGATCTTCCCAAAAATTCGCATTCGTCGTTTCCAAAAGGTAAGCAATATTGTCAAGAATGTATAAGATGCATGCTTTTAACGGAAGAGGACGGAGTAAACACGACAGAGCTCCTGTCACTTGTTCCAAACCCTTTTTCGTTGGACACAACAAGATTGGAAGAGTGTACATATCTGCCAAACGCCAACTCATGGTTTCATCCCAGCTGTCCATATAATTTGGGAACTTTGGGAAACAAAACAAAAACACAAATATTTCATTCATATAAAAGTTACAATCAAAGTATAACAAACAGAAAATCAATATTCATCACCGAAAAAAAATGTTGTATTTCACTTCACTACAAATGAGGCCAACTTTGAAAGTCGATCAAAATGACGGTCGCATTTGATAATCCCATTTTAAAAAATCCTACATCATGAATCAACTCCCTACTGAAATTTAGTAACATATGATTACGACTGAAAGTTGGAATATTCACTACTACAAGTCCAACATAATATTATCCTAGAGTAGACTCAATTGTCTTGGAAGACTTGCTTTTCAAAATTCTTGACCGATTTCATATAAGTCTGTAACTCGTCTTGCCTCTGCAAAAACGTGGATTGAATTGGAGTTACACATTTCATCAAACGATCCCAAGCAAGATCAGCCTTCTTGACATACAATTTGTATTCCATTTCCTTGTCCTTGGACACTTCCGACAATTCTCGGAGAGAGGTCTTGAATTCTGTTTTATCATCATCGGCCTTGTTATACTCCATAAAAGAATCATAGCAAGGTGAATTGATGTAGATCATACACATGGGACATTCATCGCGGATATCGACATTATCATCCATCCAACTGAATTTATGTTTGTACATTTGTTCGAGTTTTTTCAAATTCTGTTCTTGTTGTTGTTGCTCCTTGGAAGCTCCCGAAAGTGTTTCTCCTTTGTCAGCATTTTGATAGGTGGGAGTGGTGAGCTTTGGTCGACTGTTGAGCATTTTTTTTGGTAAAATAGGGTGCTGCATGATCATCGTAGGTCGGAATGGATTCCTTATCGATAATACAAATTAATAAATATTGATTGTTGAGTTTATTTGATAATAATAATATGATTCAACAATACATTTATTGTCGAGTGGTATTTATTTACCTACAGTTATGTGAAAGTGTGATGTGTTGGATGATTCAAATTTACAAAAAAATTGAAAATGAAAGTCGCACCATTCCGAATGAATTACTGTTTGTTCTCATCAAGATTGATGGCAAATTCTTCTCAACAAATTAAAAGAGATTCGTCTTTTTCATGATACGAAGGAAATCTTCTTTCGAAATTTGTCCCGAGTTGGATCGGTCAGCTTCTTCAATCATTTCTCTCAGCTCCTCATCCGTCATGTTTTCTCCCAAGTCTTTGGCTACTCTCTTCAAATTAGCAAAGGTTATATAGCCTGTATCGTCTTCATCAAACAAACGGAAGGCCTTCATAATCTCGGCGTGAGAGTCCTTTTCACTCATTTTTGCAGTCATTAATTGCAGGAAGTCGTTGAAATCAATTTTACCCGAGCCATTATCAATTCCAGAGATCATCTTCTTGATTTCCTCCTTTTTGGGCTCAAAACCGAGAGCTCGCATAGCCACCTTCAATTCTTTGGCATCGATTTTTCCTGATCCGTCCATATCGAACAAATCAAAGGCTTCTTTAATTTCTTGTCGTTGCTCATCGGTCAATTCAATTTGTACCTTTTGTTTGCTACTTCCGCCTGTGGTTCCGGTTGTTGTTTTCTTGGTAGCGTACTTTTGCATCTTGCTGAGGGAGACCTTTAATGGTGTTGAGATGTTTTTTTCAAGTGGTGTTGTATTTGAAGCGCCACGCGCAAAATGTAAAATGATTTTGGCGGTATTCCAAATGGTCGTTTGTTTAGGTTTAAGGTGTTCCCCTCATTCCTCTCTTGTACCAATACAAGGACATTTACTTAATTTCGGGAGAATATATTGAGCTACAGGTTTGTTGCAGCCAGCGGTTATTTACTGGATTGTGCACTGAATATTGTTCTTGCGTAAAGCGTATTGTGGCATTACAGACACCAAGCGCACGAACATCATCAATTTCCTTTCCCATATGTTGTGTGAAGAAGTGTGTTCACCCATTGGGTGCTCATTTTGTAAGAACATGGATGAACAACATGCATTGTCAAAAATGATGATTTTAGACCTGTCCATGATGAGAATCCAATGCATAACACATTTGTAAAACTCAATTGCTTCAAGAACAAACACTCGAAAGGAAACACATTGGTTAACAAAATTACTCGAAGCTTTAAGGCATTAAGAACATTCATTTTCGTGAAATATTCTAAAAAAATTTTGCATTCGCCATGCTGAAACAGATTCGATCAACGTTAGTGATAGAAACATCGCAGTTCGAGGTTGGGCGAAGACTGGGAAGGTAAAGAGTAAGACAATGAAAGATGACAATTTGGCGTTCTAATTGCACCTAACCAATCAGGAAAGACCTCTCTTGTCAAAAATTCATTAATACCTAAGCTCAAAGAACTTGGATATCTTCCCATATATGTTAACATTTGAAGTGTAGTCTCGCGATGCAACGAAATAACCTCCAAAGGCCATTCAACCACGTTCTTTACCTGTTTAAAGGAAGCTATAAACTTGTATTTGAAATTGAAACTTGAGGCTCTAACATTAGAACACTTATTTTCCGAACTAAATGGACCGTTGAAAGATAAAATTGTGGTCCTAATGATGGACGATGTAGACTCTATTGCAGATCTTGAAAGGTTTCAACGAGCATGTTTTTTGGCTAGCCTTTCAGCGATCAAGGAGATGAAACAAAGTTTTAGCCTCTAACCCAAGTTCCCCTCTTGCTAAATGGATGCTTTGATTTTGTTACCTGTTTGAAGGAAGTGATAAGAATAATGGATCGTTTACAGAGTCGCTTTTGAAAACGCTTTCAAGGAATTGTTACAATCATTTTCGGTCAAGATTGTTCAACAAAAAACAAACAATGAATCAAAACAGCAATATGAATAGTGATAGTAATAGCAATATGAATAACAATACCCGTCAGTAATTGCTATTAACAACGAGCATTTGATCCTTATTGAACATTGTATTTCTGACACTGATGAAACCTCATTTGATCATACTCAGCAGTCAAAAGATTCTGCCTAACCTAATTCAAATATTACCAAGAAACAAACAATATTATTGCATTGGAAAACAATTCCATATGTATATGCAAAAATTCCTTGCGAATTTCCTGAGAGTGATGATGTGGAAATTATATATGTGCTTCATAATCCATTATTTTCATCGGTCAGAATTGTTACAAAGGAAAAGGTTGTAGATATATCTGTTCCTATAGATATTAAGCACACAAACCCTTAGAAGAATTAATAGTTTTGACCTAACATGCAATCAAATCACTGGCAGCAATAACTTGCACACAGTCACCAACTATCCGGAATGGATGGATCTTCGATGCTTTTCTGCACATGTTTCATGAGTTCAATTACTTGTAGATAATATTTCGAGAATGTTGCTTGATTGGTGTTAGCAAGATTCATCAGCGAGTTTGCTAATTCTTGGTAGGATAATAAAACTGTTTTCAATCCATCTTTGGAACGACATGATTCTCTCTGACAATCTAGTTTAAGCAAAATCAATGCTGGATGGTGATCATATTTCGCAATATAATGGTCTATCTTTTCAAGGCATAATTGGGCATGTCCTAATGCAATCATGCATGACGCCGAAGAGCAAATAGCATGAATTATAGCTTCAGAAGAGACAACATTTTCAAATTTTTCAATGGCAGACAAGCTCTGAAATGCTTTTTCATAGTGCTGTAGAAATATGTATGCCTGTCCTTTGGCACATAAAAAAATATACTCGTTTGGCATTCTCGAAAATCGTTCCACTTGTTGCAGATCGCGTAAGGCAGTCTGTGCAAGCTGCAGTCTTAACATTTGTGACAGTGAAGGGACAGACGCGGCTGTTATTTGAAAAGTAGCTTTTAAAAAAAGTAGAGGTGTGAATTTCAAATCTGGAATGGGTAATTCTTCTTTCGAACGATTTTGATCTGCATGTTCTGTATCGGTCATGTCCTGCTCCTCGTCCGATAGGTCGAATCGAGTTTTCGATAAACGATCGAGTGACGGAGATGCTGATGTCAAGTGAATATTTACATGATTTTTCATAATATTCAAAGCTGCATGAATAGAATCATTTCCAATTCGAAATAATTCAGGACCTTCTCTTACAAGTGGTAAATATAATCCACATAGGCTAGTTTTCAAGTACAAGATGTAGGGATTGTTTGGATTCACTTTCAAACACTCATCCATGTCTTTCATCATTTGAAAAGGGTTTTCTGAAGGTTGAGACGACATTCGAGTGAATATTTCAATAGCCTTAAAACAAGATCCCAAATGAAGTGGTAAGTCGGTTTCCAAATCTTCAAACCAATCAAACTCATCTTGTGTGTAGGTTCTTCTAGTGAAGGGAAATGCATTTTCATGGACATCATAGGTGACAGTTGTTGAATAGTCCACGTCTTCTCTCTTGACAGCACTCACATATGCTTTTTTCGTCTTTTCATAACCGTCCAAAACCTTGCGAGTGTATTCCAAAAGTGTTTTGTTACTGTTTGGATTAAACTTCAAACGCGTGAATAACCAATAGAAATTAACAATGAGATTTTGTCTTGTGAAAATCTCTTGACCATCGACTTTGGGGGAAATAGCAGAAGATGACATTAGAGAATCCCACACGCTACATAAAAAGAAAGTATCATCCATGTACAGTTGTTGTGGTTGTTGAGATGGTTGAGATGATTCAGACTCGGCATCTTTCCGAGATAAAGTAGCTTCTTCCAATTTATAAATTGGATATTTGTAAAGATTGCGAGAATCATTCTTTTGTACCACAAACATATTCTTCAAGGTTGAGAGATCAAACCATTCCTGAAAGAGTCCTTTCAAGACAATATATTGAGCTTGTCGATGGAGGAGATGAGCTCTCATTCCCACTGAAGAACCAAAACACGCGGCAGGATTGTTTTTAAGAGCCAGAAAGGTGGTGTTGGGTGCACAAGCCAACGAACATAGTAACTCGCAAAGATCATTTGAGAGTTTTCTTTTTTGTGGTTGTTGTGGTGATTGAGTTGAATCCTTCTCGGAATGATCCTCCCATTTGGACATTTCTGATTGTAATTGAAGCATCGCTTGTTGGAAAATCGTTTCAAAGTGGTTCAATGCTTGAAGTGCAGAAACGTGAGAGGATTGGGTATTATCGTTGGAGTTTCTTTGGAAAGAGAGATTGGAATGATAGGATCTTGATTCTTGTTGTACTTTCATCCTTTTAAGAAAAGAGAAGGAAGAACTAGATCCACTCATCATTGAAATCAACCATGGATTGGTGTGTACAAGATTGGAACTGGCATCAATTTCAAGTGATCTCATTCGGAATGTTGAAAATCTTCTCCCTGAGCCAAAAGTAGTTGCCGAGATGGAAGTTGAGTTGGTGGATGAACGAGACAGCAACAAACGGCGTGACCGGAAGAAGGTGAACGGTGGTGTCATTTTTTTTGATCTTCTCACCAACCGTGTACCATTTCCTCCACCGACACTCGCTTCGACACCCATCAACCCATGTTATATATTCATCACTCTGGCTTCATATCCCTCCTGGTAGTGATGTATTTAGGCACATAAAAGAGTTATCTTCCAAATGGTCAGAAATCCAAGTCCTCGTTGCCCTTTTCGTTGAAAAATGCCACACACTCTACTATCTTGACAAGAATGCAGATTGACGGCACTTTTGTGTTGTCAATTAGAATCCCAGCTGG